TAGTTTTACGCAACATAAAGAGCGTCCTTGCAATCAGAAATAGGATATAAGGGAAGCTAGGGAAAGGTATGACTCACACATTAATATAATGTTTTAAATCAATAACAAAAGAAGACAGGAAAACACATTTACAGGATAATTAGCGTTAACTGATACATAGGACACAAGAAGAAGTAAACATCTCCGCCTACACATGCGTAAAAACCGTTAGCTGCTGATAGTCACGATATGGCCTTGCGTTTGTCAATAAATGTGAAAAACTTTGGAGACAAGCTCACTTGAGATGATATTAAAATTGTGGACAGATGAAACACAACGAAAGCTAAAGAATTTATAAAACCTGAGACCCTGCTCAAGTATAAATCAATAGACGTACCAAAGTATGATAATTAGAAGCATTGGAATTAACGCACTGACTAAAAATTCCAAAAATAGTGCAACTTAAGGCAGGTCGAACTATATGGGCACAAGTGAATGTATTATATTAAAAATTCGTAATGAGTGGGCTATCAAGTATTCAGGGATCATCAATTGATAAAAGTGCCACAACAGCTACATCTTAAGTGGGAATCGAGATTCTCGTAACCGGTTGTACGTTTTCTCCCTAGGTTCATCATGTGCATGTTCAACTGTGTATCGAGTATAGTATCTGCATATACACGTTAGTATTAGAACTGACAAGATAAGTTGAGATGGACTCACTCAGATCCTTGTGACGTACTCGGTTGTTGTGACTGGCTTGCAAATGAACCGTGAATTTATCAACCATTTTTAGCAAACCTTTCGTAGATTGTGGAATACCAGTTCCTCGACAGTATCTAACGTTGGCAGGCTGTAAACGTTCTTTACTTGGACAAAGATTTGTTTGTTTAATAGATTTCATGATTGTCTGATAAATCTGCACAGAAAGACTTTATCTACTATCCTCTGAGTTTTTTGAGTCTTGAAGCGGTAATAGGACTGATGTTTGTTTTTAAGATTTTGACATTTCTTGCTTACGTATCAAAATAAAAGGGCCTCGGTTTGATGTGTGATTCTTTGCACTTCGATTCCGTTATCAATACGTTATCGAGTATTTCTTTAGGACTGTCTGTAGTAGTCAATAGGGAAATCTGTCCCAGAGACATTCCTAAATTTTTTAGACCTAGGATAGACGGTCCGCAATCAGTGATGAGAAATTCACAATTTAGGACCAGAGATTTGTCGCCTCTAATCACCAGATTAAAACACTAAATAATAGGAAATTTATGACCAGTAATACTTAGAATAGAAACTTTGGTAGACTTAGTTATAGAATTGGGACTTAGTGACTAAACTTCCGACGAAAATGATGGATTTGACACGATAAATGTGAATAGTGAAATAATGAAAAGCACCACTGGAAAAGGGTAATCGTTCTGGGTATGAAGTGAACTGCTGGAAGTTGTAAGTAAGCAAAGTATATGATTATTAGAATCCCTCAAATCAATGGTATCCGAGTTGCAAAGTTTAGTATTACTCGCGGCGAAATAAAGAGTAGTTCTACAGACAGACTGGATGTGTCCCATTTAACCACGCTTACAACATTCGGCATGACGAAAGGCACGCGAATTACGTGAGATTTACCACAGGATAAATATTTGCCAAACATATGTACACCCCGTAACCTGCGTTGTGACTCGTCAATGAATTGATATCCATGTTTTCTCGAGAACTAGGATTATCATCAATTAAACGACTACCTGTATGACCTTGGGTATACATCCGATTACTTACTTACTTACTTGAGCCTGTTACTTCTCATGAAGGTGCATAGGCCGCTTACCAGCATTCTCCACCCATACATCGGATTAGGATAATGTAGTAGGATTCTTGATGTTGAAGATGCCACAGGTATTCGGAGTTTGACAACGCTTTAACCAGTAACACCTTCTAATACGAAGCGCACCCACCAAGTAAAATCAAAAGACAGAAGTGAGGAGATCGAAGATATATTTGATAAGCTATCAATATATCGAGGATCGTTTGCACTAATCTGGCTAGCGATTGCGGCAGATGTTGAGCACGGCGTTCCCACACGTGATCTGGTGCGGATGCTTGACCGAGCGCCTTCAGCTAGATGAGTCCACTAAAACTGTGGTCAGCATCCAATATCGAAAACTTACAGAGCTATTTGATTTTGGGGAATTATTTACCGCTACAATGTCATGGAAGTCAGTTTCATACATTGCCTCATAGTTAATACATATAGACCTAGAATTTCGGAAGGAACACTTCTGCATTTGTAAAAGCTGTCTTTCTAGATTCGGTATGTTAATTCCTTCAATTAACCGGTTATGCAGCTGGACATAAAGCTGGTCACCAAAACTACACTTGGCCGCTTGTTTCTGCGATTCAAGGATAAATTTTCTAGCCTCCTAGTTGTTCTGATGCATCATTTTGTGGAATTTTACCCTTTCACAGTATTCGAACTCAGTATACTTTATATGATTTAATAGTAGTTCTTTGAGAGTTCAGTAGGGAAGTGAAATAGGCTGATCTGGAAATGTCAAAGATTTTAGTGGGATGTTGGCATCGTTTCCGATTAATGTGATGGAACGAGCCACGATCTTATCATGTTTAACATCTTTCCTGATCATACTGAAGATTTCAAACTTTTCCGTATAATCTTCGAAAGTTTCAGAATTTGATTGTATATTCAACTATCTAATCACAGGCCCCGTCGCCATACCAATATGATAATTAGAAGTGTTTAATTCAATGTGCTAACTAGAAATACCCGAAATAGTGCCATTTAAGGCAGGTAGAACTAGATGAGCATAAATGAACGTATTATATTTTGAATTCATAATGAGCGGGCAATCAACTACTAAAGCAATAATAAGTTAGTACAAATACCACACAAAGTCAACCAAATCTATCAGTAAGCAACATTAATGAATAATAATTATAAGGTCAAAAACTAGGTTAGGTTAGAAAACAAGCAAAAATTCAGATAACCATCACACAGTTATGAACAATAATGAATTAAATCCAGGCCGATAGGAAAAGCTGCCCATCAATTGTTGTAAAATCCTAACAATCAGTTCTCACTGATAATTTTGTTAGGAGGGACAATAAAATCTTCCAAAATAAATCTTCCTGCTCAGAAAACAGGACAATATGAACATCTCAATCCTGCTTTATAGATATTCCCTTGTCTCATCGTTTCGGTCGTAATGACTAAACTTGATGAAACTTTAAACAAGAATGAATAAAGTCAGTTTGAGTTCTAGACATACACTTACGACGATGAATGCATCGCATCCACTCGGATTAGGTTTTAAACCATACTTTCAAAGTTTAATACTATGTTTAGGAAGACAAACTGCTACGTACAGATAAGACTGGGCTTTTCTGTGCTCGAAACATAAATCTGAAGATGATAGGGTCTTACAAGAAAAATAGTACACTTTCATGTGACAATGTCATTAAAATGTGTAGTGGATCTCAGCAAAAGAGCTTATTCAAAATATGACAATACGCAAAGTTACTAGTAATATACCAAAAAGAATTAACACTACAAACCTAAGTGTCTGTTTATGAGCAAAGCAAAAAGTAACAAATTACAGTTACAATATAAACGGTACATTAAATAACAAAATAATTACATTTGTTATGAAATGAATGTTACTTGTAAGCTGTTCTCCAAGATAAAAACCACAAATGAATTCACTTAATTAACAGATGTTCCTCTGCACATGTCATACCAATGGCGTAATGATAATGATCAAATCCGACAGTAATATTATCAATAATCCGGGTCGAAACACCAATGTAGTGTAAGAAGACTTAAAAGAATGTTGTAACACTATTGTAATCCTCAATCAACAAGCCATGGCCAATTAAGCAGAAGAACAGGTAGTGTAAATAGAGTTTGTTTTTCAACGACCGCGGCAGTGTATGTGTATAGAACCAAACAATTATATCTGTTTCTTTACCATTGTTACAGAGAAACAAAAGATATTGGATATAAATGTATTTACATATAAAGTGTGACAAATAGAGAAGTGTGGTCTCTCTTTGACGCTACAAAAGATCATTGAATATATATATCACAATAAATGTTTGAATCATGAACAAATCCAAATTACTACTGTCATCTGTACTATAGAATATAAGGGGTGTGTTCTACAACCGATAAATCATTTGTATATATAAAATTTTGAGTTAGTGGGTCCCATACAAACAAGTGTAGTTCTAGACATTTTATATTCATCATCACATGCAAACAGTTTAGTAAGATTACGAAACATGACTATTTTTCCGATATTTGATTCATTATTGTAGATAACCATAATGAACCCAAGTAAATAATTCAGTTTCAACAGTTATGTGACAGGCCCACAATGATGAGGTTTTTTCACCCTGTTAATGATCAAGATCAAATAGGGAACAAAAATATAAAAACGAGAATCAGCTGATAACTATCTTGGACGATGAACATCTTTTAAAACGCTTTGTTTAATATCCCAATCAATGATTTGAATGGAAAAAGAGTGATTGTTTTGGTACAACATTAGATCTTCTTTAGATTATCTAATAAAGATTGCTTAAATCAATATAAAATTAACCACAATAAAGTACAAGCTAAAATGTTATTTCATTGATCCAAAAAAATATTGAACAGAAGGTCAAGTTTGACACTGAGATTATTATCACTAAGATAATTTAGTAATCAGTCAAATTCAGTACCAATTAAAGGGTTAACTTTAATTGTGAAGAGAATGATTTTTCTTTTTATAAATCCATTTCTTCCTTTACACATTTACTTTACATTTACTTAGCCTACGTAATCTTACTCTAGAATTACACTGATCAACAATAAAGGAGGTATTCAGTTTCACTTAATTCATTCTTAAAGTAAACACAAAAAGCATATTGCTCACCTATGATATATATATATATATATATATATATATATATATATATATATATATATATATATACCAGATTTCATTAATTTTAAAGAAATTTGAAAAATGAATTGCCTGATAACTTTATTCTTAAGTATATCCCTCTTCAGCGTACTATCTGTAACACAGACTACTGAAAGTGAGTTAATCAAACAGTATTCAGCATATGATATGATCTCTTGTTTTTAAGGGAAGTATTTGATTAGCTTTTTAATTAAATGCACCTTTAATATTTTCATGAAAACCTGTTATCTCATAAAGACTAGCTACATGAAACTTAACTTTTGCTGCTTAAAGTAAAGAATGGAAATATTACAGTGTGATTTTTTTTAGTGCCTGTATGATTATAGCCAAAAGACAGTAAATCTTGATTTCAAGGAAGTTTGCAATGATGATCAAGTATGCATTTGAACTAAAAATAAGCAGGTCTAGAAAGAACACATATAATTTCTAGTTTTCATCCATTGAAACTTAATATCTCATTACTCTATGAAATATGTAAATGTCAAAAATACCACTTTTTTTATGCGTAGACATTCATCTTAGTGATTAGTAATAACTTTCAAATAATCAAATACCATACGGAATAAATTTAGTACCAAAACTATTACGTAACATAAACTGATAGATCAAATTCAATTACTCAATTGAAATAGCTAATAACTAAAAATGGTTAAAATCAAATCATTCAACGATCATCACATTGAATTAATTGATGATTTCATTCTTGATTGCTTTCCATCATGAGTTTTTCATTAGGATTTCACCAGTCAGTTAAAGGTTATTTTTCATAACCGAAGTGTACAATTACCTCAATGATTCCGATTTTAATCATGAAACATTAAATTTATTCGGTTCAAGTTACATAATTAAAATCTGAATGATATGATGTAGTTCATGTTAAAAATGAAACAATATAGAATTAATCTATTACATAATGGATGGTTGCTTCACTTGAACGGATCTTACCCAGGGTTTAGTTAGAGCTTAACTATGTACGTGATGATCATTTTGGTAATGATCCTTTATCTACAAAATGTCTTTAAAGTCATAGAAATACATTGTTGTATTTCAAAATTGATTCAATATTTAAGTCAAAACTACTTACCGAAATCAATCTAGTTTATAATCTGATGTACTTCATATGATAAACAGAAAGCCAATACTCACATCTGATCTATACAATTAAAATGTTTTAATATTATCACATTCATCATTTTGAAATACAACCTATAGAATAAAGATGATAGTTCTCAAAATCTTTCTCATACATTAAGATTTCTCTATCAATAAACTGTATCAGGTGTTAGGAAGATACTCAATGAAGACAATAGAAGATGGTTAAACAATATCGTGGACTGATTGAAGTTAGACTTGTACAGCCCTGAATACTTGTTCAGGTGCCTAGAATTTAGATTTTCGTGAGAGACATAGAAGATCCTGGGTTCAATTCTTGAGTGCAGGGTAGTATATGAGCACTGTTGAGCAGTTCCATTTTAGTACAAAATGGCTGTTCAGTTCCTCTAGATTTTCAATGGTTATTTAATTTAAAATAGTTCTTGATTCTAATGAAATTCAACAATCTCCACAACCACAAACTGATAATAATTGAATGATGAAGATTTTTGGTTCACATGAGTGATTTGGGCAGTGTTACGTTCTCTGAGCTACATGGTTTAATTGCAAAGCTCTCATTATTGTACTGAACGACATCGTTCATTCTCATTTCAAGTAGAGATCTATTCCTGCCTCCTTTTTCATGAATGATTTATTAACCAATCATTATAAATTATTCAACACAAATACTTTCCTTCTTTTATAACAGAAGCTAATTCAGAAGTTGTGTAAGTTGATAACTTTCTTATTGGTAAATAATTATTTATATTAGTTTTAATAGTACAACTTTTCATGGTTATATAAACAAACACCTTGTAGATTCAGTCAACCGTATAGTTCTGTTCACTTTCAGTTATCTTAATGTATTAGTCAAACGATAATACTAATCACAGTGTTAAATGATAAGTTAATATTAATGATATGACATGTCATAAAAGTATGGTAAAGGTTTGGTACCGATGTTGACGGATATAAGTAATATGTATCATCAGTCGAAAATGGAATGTCTGGTGGCAGAAGGTTAAGGAGATCGAAGAAAAGAGAACAAGAACAGAGAATGATTAGTGTGGAAACTAAAGAATAATAAAGTCTGAGACAATTGATGGATATTTTACAAATGAAGTATTTATTGTATAGTTCTCACAGGTTCTGTAATTTTGTATTCAAATACTCTTGGTTGTCCCTGCCTTTTTCTCGTTCACTACAGTATCTACTGACTGACTAATTTGATAGATTCTATTGATGTATGAAATGATTATTTTTGACAAATAATCTCATCAAAGTTTATTCACAGAACACAAACTAAAAATGATTAAAATGAAATTTGTAATTTGACAAGTTCTTACTTACATACTTACTTACTTGCGTCTGTAACTCTCAATGGAGCATAGGCCACCGACCAACATTCTACAACCCCTTCTGTATTGAGCCTTCTTTTCTAGTTCCATCCAATTCTTCTTCATTTTTCTCATGTCTATCTCGATTTCTCTGCGTAACATATTCTTTGGTCTTGCTCTTTTCCATTGACCTTGAGGATTCTAAATAAGGGCTTGCCTTGTGACGCAGTTCGGTGCTTCCCTCAATGTGTGTCCTATCCACTTTCAGCGCTCCTTCCTGAATTTTTCCTCCGTTGGAATCTGGTTTGTTCTTTATCGCAACACGTTGTTGTTGATAGTGTCTGGCCAACGGATCCGAAATATTTTGCGTAGACACCTGTCGATAAATACCTGTATCTTCTGGCCTTCCTTTCTAGTTTGTTCATTCTTCTCATGTTTGTCTCCATTTCTCAGCGTAATGTGTTCTTTGGTCATGCTCACTTATAATTGAAAGGAAAAACATTCGGGAATTGTCAAACAATCTGAATTATTTCTTATTATTTATAATCATTTGTATGACATCTTAATCAAGTTTGATTTGGTCAACACCGTCAATTCTTTGATAACTATTTTAAATATATATGAGTCAAATTACACCTAACCTTTCCTTTATAGCCTTGCCTACATTAGTCCATGTTGTATTGTGTGATTTCAGTATAATTATTTAACTTATGATGACAATCCTATTTCTGTTACATTAAATAACAGGTTTCGGATTTTGGCTCAAAAGTCATTCATCCATTTGACTAATTAGAGTTTTGGAATTATAACTGGCGTCAGTTCGTGATGAAAATCCTATATATAATTCCCAACTAAGGCAAATTATAGCAATTATTGCAAACTGGATAATAAAAGCACCAGTAACACTGACTGCAGCCAGATACTACAATATATACGAATGATTCGAGAGCGTACAGACTCCTACATACACTTGATTATGTGCATCGTGTCGTTATCCACAAGTGGCATTTTGTGGACCCAACAATCGTAGTGTACATAAACAATATTGAAGCTATGTTGTTAAGGCTGAAAGAGATTTTGCAACCCTATCATGGCTCCAGAAGCCGACTATTGTGTAGCCATATGGATGATTTCCTCTACTCCATGCATTACGATTTTAGAACCTGTGAACCTCTTTCTAACCTCGAAAGTTTTTGAACCATTTAAAAGAAGTGTATCTTTTTTATTTCTTTTGTTTTGTATAATATATTTTTACTCTAAACTGAATGTTTGCTGATCGGCTAATATTTCTCAAGGTCACTTTGGATTCGTTCAAAGGTCGTCCATAAATTATAGCCTCACCGAATCGACATCTAAATAATGCGAATTCTTTTTGTTGCATATTGCCAGCAACCTCGATATCTTTGATTGGACTAATTAGCTGGTCGCACCTACATCCCAGAGTTGAGGTAAGCCACACATGATGTACATATGCCAGTAAGATATTGATCAATTGCAGCTCTAAACATCAATGGGAAGATATCTACAAACAATACAAAACGAAACATTAATTTTAATATTAAATGTATGATTACAACAACATTATTCCTTTTTTATTCCCAAATCGTTTGTAAACAGATACAGATATCCAAAACCTGTGTAAGTTAATGATTTCATTGAAGATCCTTGGGATTTACATTAGGAGTTAACATATTGTAAAGTTTGCCAACAATGATTAACAAGTTAGTATTAATTAATAAGTGAAATATGGGTAGTAATAAATAGTTTAACGAATCACTTCTGTTGACGGGTCAGTTTTTAAATCATGGAGTTTGTACTACATCTAATGTAGGTAAACGATAAGTAAAATACTGTTCCGAAATATTTACGCTTAGGACTGACCTCCTACAATACAGTCTTAACGCAATCTGATGATACTGTGTGGAGTATGTTGAATGGAAATGGTTTTCTCATTTCTTCTTCACAAGTCCCATTGTAAAATATACAATTAATATATACACTTTTCGTTCATCAGGAAGGTCTTCGAATAGTGTAGCATAAATATGGAGTAACCGCCAGGATCAAAAAGAGGACTACATAATAATGAAATCGGAAAATGGCTTCTGAAAATGCTTAGCAGATTAGTTAATCATTTAACCTTGCTGCAGAAACATTTTGTATTGGTTGTTTGAATCTTCCCATTGATGTTTAGGACTGCAATTGATCAGTTCCAAATCGGACGAAACGCGCGTCTGCGATTTCAATGCAAGCTACAATCCATCTCTGCTTACAACACCTTTATAATTATCAAAAATAAATTTGAAACGTTTAACGAGGTTCACCAAACAGTTTCTTTTACAAAGAAAGAAATAAACTGTGACAGCACACCGTTTGTAGATATCATTTGTGAGTATAAGGTCCGAAAAGACAATAGAGAGAACATCTTATAACAAACTGATTAAAACAAGTATACGTATTCAATTTTTAATTACTTCTCAACCATAATACAACCGACTTCCATTTAAGTCCTTGATCCCAGAGTTAAGATTTTTCGTTCTTACAACATCTCCCATTAGCAAATGAAACGCATCAGTGGTCCAATAAGAAAAGGTAATTCACTATCAACACTGACCAACAAACTATATATCCCAAACAAAGCTCAAGTGAATGTACCGTTAGTATCACAATGATCTATGACATCTTTCATATGCCTCATGCTTATCATGTATTTCTATTGATTTTACTTCAAGTCCTCATCCATCTGTGTATTTGTGAGTTTGAACTTTTAACATTTTAATTTCCTTCATTCAGCTTTCAGGATGATATTTGTAAAATTATATTTATGTCCTTTTGATCTGATTGAATAAATACATATTTTGTTACTAATGCTGATGTATATCCACATTATACAACCTTAAATGCTAAGGTCATACTGTTGTTAATGATCTTTGAAATAATTCTTAAGCCTTCGTATATCAATCATTAATAAATAAATCCCAACAGTGTATGGAATTCAGAAGGCAATATGAACGATTGACTACAATTTATTATTGAATAGCAAAGATCACTAAGCCATAAACAAATACATCAAGTGAAATCGAGCGAAATTTCTAATGCGAGCGAGTGAAAACAGTACTCAATAAAGACACATCTGAATGATTAAGTTTCAAGCATAACTATTTATGGGAAAGCTAATGTTTCATCAAGAGACTTAAGCAACTAATAATCAAGCTATAAAGAGGGATATCACATTAGCTATCACATATGATCAAGCATAAATGTTCATACAAACATGACAATAATACCAAGATATACGAATAGTTACTATTTCAATAACAAAATTATGTAAAGGAGAATTGCTACAATATATTAATAGATCTAACATTTAAGGATTCAAGAGAAACGTTTTGTTTTCCACTGAAAGATTATTGCACAGTATCATCAATAGGTTGAAATGTTAACCACAATAAATGTAGGCTAAATAATCGAAATGTTAAAAGCTGTTTGAGAGTTACATGTGTGAATGAGAATGGATACTATGAAAGAATCTCACTTTAAGATGAAACAACTGTCTATCTCTTTGTAATTTTCAATGGTTGTTCGATCAATAGATGTGATGCAATTTCTAAAATTCGTTAGTCATCCCAAACATATTGATATTAATCAATAATTTTATTGATTGTTTGATTATGAGTTCAAAAATGCTAATAAGTGAATGATCAATTCATGATATAAACGTCGATATTATCTTCAAATAAACGGCCTCATAAGAACTTAGATGTTTGTCACAGCAAGTAAAATATGATTTCAACGGTAACATCTATAAATTTCAAAATATTTCTTCTGATATATTAATTGCTTACAAAATCTATTATTTTAGTGATGATCCTGTAGTGAACTTGTAAGCTAAAACAATAAAAGAAAGTTTTTGAATACTTTGAAGATGATCAACAATGAATTCACCCAAATTAATTATTGTATTTTACTAAATAAGAATATCAATTAATATCATGAATGGGTGAATGTTAGACCACCATTGAAAACCTGGAAGCACTGAACGACCGTTTTGTCCTGGTTTGGGACTCCTCAGCAGTACTTATCCACGGTCCCGCACCAAAGGGACTCGAACCCAGGTCCTTCTTATTGGATAAATATAACATGACAGACCCTTTATTGGACACTTACAGAGTACTGTATCTAAGCATTATATCGAACTATGCTTTATTTCTTTCTAAATATTTCTATTTGCATTTTCTTTGTTAAATTAACATGTGACTACACCTTTCTTTGTACAAATATATTTCACATTTAGCGAAGATCTTACATTCACAAAGTAAATAAATACATTTTAAAAAATAATGTGAATGTTTAAATTATATAAATACAGTTTGTTCTGTATTACATAACAACTTAGGATTGATTGTTAGGTTGACCATGTGATTGAATGTAGATCTATCCAAATTGAAAACCCATCTTAAGTAAGTTTCAATCCTCAAATGACTTTAAACAAACAACTATTTGAAACTGAAAAGATATTTGTCAGCTGTTTCATTTTAGTTTTTTGTTGTTGAAAATCTTCGTTGAATACGTGGAAAGTCATTAGAACCATTAGAAGCATATAATAAGAGATCTGCATCCATCCTAGTCAGTAAGATAGCATCAAATCATTCATAAGGAATCTTATTATCTAGATTACTATACGAAAGTCAATAGTTCGACCTTTTTTAATGGTATATAGATTATGCACTACATAATACATTGTAAAGCAAAGTATGAAATGAGTTTAATAATTATAGTTTGATTGATGCTTCAAGTTGCAGAAATAGCTCAGTTCACATTGTCTTGTCCGTTAGATCATATTAATTATCAAAGTTTAAAGAGTCATGAAGTCATAAAGTAACACTAATCTACTAACTTTTTTATTGGAACGACCGCATATGTTGTATCTTAGTCATTACTTTCATTAATAAGAAATTCCTTAATCAATACAGTTTCTTCGATGAGGCTAACATTTATGGACGACCTTTGAGCAACGCTAAAGTGATCTTAAGTGTGTCCACCTAATAACTAGGACTAAATGAGGATTATCCGGTGTCAGGCAAAGTTGCTTACTCTCACCCTTCCTCTCTCTCCTGGTGATCGACTGGATCATGAAGACGTCAACATCTGAAGGGAAGCACGAGATACAGTGGACATCTAGGATACAGTTGGACGATCTAGACTTTGCAGATGATCTGGCTCTTCTATCGCACACGCAACAACAAATGCAGGAGAAGACGACCAGTGTAACAGCAGTCTCAGCAGCAGTAGGTCTCAACATACACAAAGGGAAATGCAAGATTCTCCAATACAACACAGCATACAACAATCCAATAACAATTGACGGAGAAGATTTAAAGGATGTAAAAACCTTTACATATCTGGGCAGCATCATTGATAAACATGGTGAATTTGCTGCAGATGTGAAGGCGTGGATCGGAGAAGCAAGAGCATCATAATTACAACTGAAGAACATATGGAACTCAACATAACTGTCTGTCAACCAACAGCAAGGTCAGAATTTTCGGTAAAATGTCAAGACTGTTCTACTGCATGGGGCGGAAACCTGGAGAACTACGAAAGCCATCATCCAGAAGATACAAATATATATTAACAGCTGTCTACGCAAAATATTTCGGATCCGTTGACCAGACACTATCAACAACAACGTGTTGCGATAAAGAACAAACCAGATTCCAACGGAGGAAAAATTCAGGAAGAAGCGCTGAAAGTGGATAGGACACACATTGAGGGAAGCACTGAACTGCGTCACAAGGCAAGCCCTCATTCGGAATTCTCAAGGTCAATGGAAAAGAGCAAGACCAAAGAATATGTTACGCAGAGAAATAGAGATAGACATGAGAAAAATGAAGAAGAATTGGATGGAACTAGAAAAGAAGGCTCAGGACAGAATGGGTTATAGAATGTTGGTCGGTGGCCTATGCTTCATTGTGAGTAACAGGCGTAAGTAAGTAAAGTAAGTAAAATCAGGGTTATAAACCAGTGTAAGGAATTAGAGTTATGATTTACAGTTTATACTTAATGTTATGAATTAGATTTAGGGTTTTCATCATGAACTGGCCTAGGCTAAAATGACAAGACATTATTTAATAAAATAGATGAATGAGTCTTTCGCCAAAATCCAAGACCTTCTATGTTTTACCTAATTGGTTCGTTCATAAATTATATTCTTTCCATTTCTTCTTATTTAAAGATTTATACATTATATGGTTAAGTAAGTTTAATCTAAGAAACATAAGTATATTCCATATTACATAATCTATCCAAATCAATATTTATAAGTTCCTATTGTTGTAAAAGTAATCATATGTGAGCTAAAAACATTTATGTTAAACATATACATGTTAGTTACTTTTTAATGAGTAAGTTTAACTACCTCTCAAGTCAAGTATTACTAAAAATCATTGATAACTAGTGAGCATCAAAAACTCTCTTTGAAGTTAATAATATGTCTCATTAGTGGGTACGATATCATTAATCGATTGCATTAGTTGTTTATAGATGACAATGAATGATGGTTTTGTCATAGTGTGGTATATACTATTTATATTGACAAATATAAGTAGTATGTAACACCAATCAGAAGTGGAATACCTGACAGCAGAAGATTAAAAAGATTAAATTGAAGAGAACAGAGAGTATTTTTAATAACAGCAAGAATGAAGGAATGATGAAGTTTGTAAGAAACAATTGATGGGAGATTTTGCGAATGAGGTATTCAACGTATAGTTTTTATATTATTACTAAGACATTCCGTAATTTTGTAGTAAACAATAAATTGGTCTTCCCACCTAAGTGTTCGTTAACTACAATAGTATAACATCTTTCAGTAAAAGCCTAATTCACTGCAGATTTATGATATAGATGTAACGGTCACGATAATTTATGCAATTAGGTATGGTCAATGATAAATTGAAATTAAGAAACAAAATCCAAAAGATGCGCGAAGAGAATTAATGATTAAATCAAGAGTATGAAATATATTCAAACAATCTTGTCACACATATACAAAGTAAAGTTTCAATGATAAGTTCAGTACTATACAATTAGGCTGATCAAACACTTAAACAGGACAAAGAACATTTGAAGATTGACTTTGATTGTTGTGTATGTATATGTATATATTCATTTTCAAGTTGAAATGACTTTGTGGTGTGGGTTTCTTATATCCACATAAGTAGTATATGGCAGTGGTCAGGCATAGAATGTATTTCAGTAGAAGGTCGATGAGGAAAGAACGGAAACGAAACGCAATCGGTAAATAAACGCATGAACAATGAAATCTGAGACAATGGATGGATGTTTGCAACAGGAACAGTTAAGTTTGGTATGATGGATTGATATTTTACAAATTAACGATATACCATATGATTCTCAGTTTTTATTGAGATGCTCTGTAATTATGTGATGAAATACATTCGATTGTCCCCATCGGTGTTCTTGTTCATTACAACTCAACTAAACACAAGTTAAAAATATTAAATGAGTTGACTTAATTGGTTCTGAAATATCTCAATAAAGTGAAAATCCTCATTTTAACATTTGGTAAATAAGGTAAGAACGAATTGAGCGAAGAATTATTCTTTTCAATTAGTTTTTCATCATGGCTCTACACTAATATATATATATATATATATCGTTTACAATAATGATATAGTACTCATCGAGTGGATACGTTACGTAATAATTACATAATGACATTTGGGCCGTCTACTGGCGGACATTTTCCTTGCAAAACTCGAAAATGAACAACTTAAAAGCACAATTAGCGATTTACCAACTTATTATCGCTATATAGACGATACTTTCATAGTATTAGAAAAAGAACATGATAAGGACAATTTACATGATATATTTAATAACGTTTATCCATCAATTAATTTTACATCAGAAGAAGAACAGAACAATAGCATATCATTTCTAGATGTCCAACTAACTAGACGAGTAGACAGAACTTTAAAAAGAGGGGTACACAGAAAGTCTGCAACAGGACAATATACTCATTTCTACAGTGCAGTTCCAATCAGATACAAATGGAACTTGATAAAGATCCTGACTCATCGTGCCAGAATGATTTGTTCGGAAGACACCATTGAAGATGAATTGGTTAATATTCGGAACATAGTATGAATAGGTACCCTACGAAATTCATCGACAAACACATGATCGAGATGAAAACAAGGGCAAAGATACCTACCGTCCCTAAGACGGTACTGTCATAAATGACACTACTGAAGAAATCGTGACTCAGAAACAAAGAAGAGCTATACAAAAAATATATAATGCAACCAAACTGAATGCTATCTTCTACAACCACCTCAAAATAAGAACGACCAATAAAGACAGACTGTCTGAATTCGCCAGACCCATGTGTATCTATCGATCTAACTGCTCCTGTGGAGACAGTTTTATAGGGCGTACAATTCAGCAAGTTCGTCATTACCTTCTAATTACTCAATGTTAATTTAATTGTCATTATGTAATTATTACGTAACGTATCCACTCGATGATTATTATATCATTATTGTAAATCATGTATATACATTAGTGTAGAGCCATGATGAAAAACAAATTGAAAAGAAATTTCTTGACTCAATTTGTTCCTTCTATATCTCAATAAGTTTGTAAACGTGAAACAATATTGATAAAATTAGGTAAAATCAATGATAACACACAACAAACATTCTTTCTTTGATTTATTCATTTATCCAATGCCTTCAGGAAATTACTATGGATATTTGAGTAAGTATTGTGTTGTTCTAATTGTGTGTGTGTGTGAATAGCAATAAACAATGAAACACATTACAAATTAATTTAAACAACAATTATTTTGATTGTTAAATTATCAACTTCTTGATTATAGACCTAATCGTGTATTATTAGCTGATGCTTTTCAGTAATAATATAATGTCAACATAATGTTAAATTAGTTCCGAATGGTTCATTTGTAGGGTGGCGTCGAGTCGCGGTTGATTATGAACACCACTACAAGAAGACTGCGTGCCAGTTGGCCAATAAGATCCCTGTAGGCCAATATTAGAAGGCAGATGATGGCTATTGTCGAGATGTATTTGTTGGCGATCTCGTGGTAACGAAAGAATACCGAGGTCTTGCCAAGGAGTACAAGCGGATACACTTAGCAAACGTAAGTGCGTACAAGGTCACAATCAACGGGAGGAAGAATGTCTTTGGTACAGTTAAACAAACAAGTACAGTAAAACAATCACTGATACAATTGGTTATAATAGTAATTGTTTCCATTACACCAATCGCGTTCTGTTGCTAAAAGTGGGTCACTACACATTCTTCTTTTTAAGGAAGACTGTTAAACTAAGTTAGTATAATGTAATGAACAATCAACAAATCTCATTATGCATATTTGTTTGAATAATTGAATCATTTTTCAGTTCTTTGAAACGTTGATAACTTGATTAAACAATCGATGTGAAAAGTAATCAAACAATTATTCAGAATGGAGATTTGTGAAAATTGTAGTGAGTTGATCTAATCTAGAGCACGACTGAAAACCTGGAAGCACTGGAAGATTGTTTCGCCCTCGTATGAAACTTCTTCAAGATGTCGCATGCATGACTCGGACCCAGGACCTTCGGTCTCGCACGCGGGTGCCCAACATCTAAACCATTGATTGATAAAATTGTTGGCATTTTCATCCTTAATTTCCCACTGACTGTGCAATGATTTTTAACGTACATAACTAGATAAAAGCTATAAATGAAATCGGCCACGTCTAGCATAGATTTACTTGAAATAATCTGCAATTATCTTTTGTCATGTTTGGAGTTTACCCAATAAACTTCAGGTAGAAGTAAGTGGTTCAAATTTTTCCACTTGTGAGTTGCAACTTTTCGTGTTGACCTCGATCTAAATTGGTTATTATTGACCTTTAATCTGTCGTTGTCTGCTTCTTTATTTTGATTGTACCTCAAAGTGATTTGATTCTTGGTCCAATATTTGTCCACAATCTTTCTGATTGGTCGGTAGATTGTATCGATTTCAACAAGCATATTGAAATCGAACACTTCATTTCTATCTGAACCTCGTGCTGATGATATCGTTCAAAAGAACGATGAAAGCTACAGAACCAACACATCCAGCTTAGAGAATAAAACTCTACCAAAATTTTATTATTATTAGTCACAATTACCGACATAGTATGATTCAAGCCAAAATTTACTGACTGTACTCGTATTAACATGGGTTTAATCTGACTATCTCTAAACCAAATTCATTTGACTTCCAATCTAAGTGATTAACTATTCGCGTTCAGTTTTATGCAATTTGTACGCAATTTTTACAAGGACTCAGGATTAGAAATAATATACCAGTTCTTTTGTATTTGATTTCATGTTCAAAATATACATCACACTGATGAAATAGCACACAAATATGAATTCACAATCATAATTCATTGTAATATCAAAATTATTAGGTATTTATTTGCCTGTTACGTAACTTTTTTGAAAATTTTCTTTTTACTCTAGTAATTTAATGTTAAAAGATTATGAAACAGAAATCAAACAACATAACACATCTCAAATGTACAAGTTTAGATTACCTAAAGAAACAACAACTCAAAAGGATTAGAAATACTGCAAATATGTGTAATATCTGAATAATTTACTTAATTATTATTAGAAAATCTAACCAGATCAGATAAATCCTGTTGTTTGCAATTGATTTCATCTTTGATTGACATGAATTCAAGTACTATCGTAGTGAACAAGAAGAATAGTGGGGAAAATCGAATGTATATGACACTAAATTACCGAGCACTTCAATAAAATCTGAGAACCATATATTAAATCGTTAATTTGCAAAATATCAATCCATTATACCAAACTTAACTGTTCCTGTTGCAAACATCAATCCATTGTCTCAGATTTCATTGTTCATGCGTTTATTTACCGATTGCGTTTCGTTTCCGTTCTTTCCTCATCGACCTTCTACTGAAATACATTCTATGCCTGACCACTGCCATATACTACTTATGTGGATATAAGTAACCCACACCACACTATCACTAAATTAGTGATTTTAGGTGCATATAGAATTTTCTGATAATACACATCTATCACTGTTTCAGAAATTTAATTCGAAAACTTCAGGCTTCATGGAGAGCATCAGACTTTAAAACCACTGATCTGGATTCCACTGCATCATATTTTCAACTTTAGTCAACTCAAGATAACAATTAACCGTCTACAACGATTTCAGTCATAGTTGCTTGATTATAAAATTAGTATTACTCCACTCATACGAAACTAATAAGTATATGGACAAACACTTTGTGTCTTACGGTGAAATGAAGCGCTTCCATATTCAATTTGATAAAATGAGTCGCTATACTAAATTTTCTTGAGAATTCAATAGGTTTTTTACAATAGACGAATAAATATAACGTCTCTACACGTCACTTAATCAATAAAGAACGGCAAATGAAACATACTACCACTTGTCTATAATTTACTTTTCGAGGTTCGATTGTTTGTTAATAAAGTTAAAAAAAATTACTGCTGCTATTACTACTGTAGTGAACGAGAACACAAGTTGGGACAATTGAATGTACCTGAACATAAAATTAGTAAAATCTGAGAATCATACAGTAAATATTTAATTTGTAAAATGTTAATCAATTTTCTTAAACCTGACTGTTCCTTTTTCATATATCAATCAGTCGTCTCAGGCTTCACTGTTCCTTAATTTCCGCAGCAGTCATTCTCTGTTCTCATTCTCTTTTCTTCGCTCTTCATAACCTTCTGCAGCCAGATATTCCACTTTCGACTGTTGATGCATACTACTTACATCTGTTGACATCAGTAGCACACACTACACTACTACTCTGCCATTATCTTAACATCATAAAACGAGATTTTTTATTGAGTGAATTCTGTTGATTAACCTACAATTCGAAATATTTGTATGCGTCCAAGTGTATTGTATCTGCCCATCAACGATTCTCATTTATCATGTGTAATACGACTGTCACTTGCAAGTCAACTAGCAGTGCGTGTGAAATTTACCCCCATCTTAAGTAAATCAAATTATGTTAAAGGCAGTGAAACTACGGTAACATTTGATTCTGGTATCATGGTAAATATTTAATGGCATAAATTATCGTATTTATAAGGACAGACTGACAAAGATGATAAGTGTTATACAGATTGATTGACATGAAGTAGTAGAAAATTTTAAGGATTTCAGAAAAAGCTCATCAATAATAAGAGATACAAATAAATATTCCAGAGTGAAACATCATGAGTTAGAGTCCTATCTGGTCTAAAGTGATCAATGCAAATGAATGTGACGAAAAGGCGTACAACGAATAAATTTATAGTAACCACTCAAAATTTTTATTTTTAACTCGATGAGATTTATATAGCGAAAACTGTTAGGTTTGAAGCTTAACGAGTTCACTTAAATTTACGAACGAGAACGAGATCCGGTAACCAACGACCAGTGAGCTAACTATTGACGCGTCCCAGCCCCAGCTATCTAGAGGGAAAAGTTCAGGCTTGAAATGAGAAGTATATTTTGCAACAACCAGAAACGAGCGACTCAACCAAAACAATTTAAAACATATATATACAATATATATAATCGATATTGTCATTTAAATTTTTAAACATTCATCAATAAGTTCATCAATTGACTGCTATTCAAATATACAAACATTTAATCGATAAGTTAATCGATAAAATTACAAATGTGAGTTTTTGGGAGATTTATCGTCCTCAACAAAAACATTCACATGTAGAACAACCGATTGGAATTTCGCTTTTCTACCTACCTATGTTATTCGTTTAATCGAACACATTTGGTTTCTAAAAGCGTTTTAGATTACCGCACAATTTGAAAGCACAAGCAAACTAATCAAATAAATACGCCACAAAAATACTTAATTTAAAGACAATTTCACTTTCATTGTTCAAGAAGTATGCTTATTGACTAGTAGTAATCTGAGTATTATGGAAGCTTCGGTAAAATCCTTAAGTTAACAATGACAAAGTCAGCTGTTAAATCAGAATAAAATAAACTATCGTTATGAAACTAAATTGTTTTGACATTATTTCATAAACAAATCAATAACCTTTGGTATTAAACTTAATTTAAACGAGGCATATAAACAAATCGTCAGTATTTTGTAAGCGCTTTTTAAAACATTATCTGAAAATAAATCAATTTACTTATAAGTTACATAAAAATGGCAAGCTGGTGTGGTGTTGGGTAATTCGGGGACAAGATTTCTTCTGGAAACTACAACCACTTTCAAATTACGTCTCAGCATTTGCTTCCGGCATTGAAGGTTGTCATATATATTTCATCCTAACTGAATTCAGACAATCATTTATGCGCCTACTAAGCGTTCAATTCACAACCAAATTCGTATGTTGAAGTGACGGTGTGATTCAGATAATCAAGCTACTGCAAATCTCATAGTTTAGAAATTAATTTAGTCTAAATCAAATCAGAAAAATTTCGATCAAGGTGCGTTGCTGACTAGTTAGATAAAATTTTAAAATAATTAGCTTGTCAAAATATTCTTAATCTTTTTTCCTTTTATTTATCCTTGAATCCTTTGAACCTTTGGAAAGAGATAATACAGTTATTCAAAGACTCCGCATTCATAAATAGGCAGTCATTTCAGTTTGGATTGCGGGAACAATCACTGATAAGAGTTTTGACGACATTCGCGAAACGTCTAGCTACCGTTTTTTGGGTGGGTTCCATGAGATTAGAGAAGATATTATTTAACTTATTGAGGTGTAAATATAAATGTTTATAGAGACATCTATTGTGATAATGTTGACTTTAAAACGAAACATGGTTAGACAATTATATATGTATTTTGGGAGGAAGATGATTAATCATCTTCCTCCCAAAATACTAGATGCTAATTTAAATGTCATTATGTAATTATTACGTAACTTATCCACTCAATGAGTATTATATCATTATTGTAAATCATATATAAATTATATATGTAGCATAAGAAACTCATAGTGCATCATATTTATTGATGTAATATGGAAATAATAATGTAAAGAAAGATGATGAAGCTGTACATCAAATATGAACAAGAGATTAATTGTTGCTTGTATAATGATACATCTGATGAATTCGCATATGATTTACAGATGCAGCACAAGCATATAAGGACAGACTATTCGCCCGAGAAAAACTACCTAGAACACAAAGCCAGAGTCGTCACGAATCTCGGGTTTCAGAATATGTGGTGTGGCTAAACATTTACTTCAACAGCTTAACAACGATTTATATATATATATATATATATATATATTTTATATGAGAATACTAGATTCGATTGAACTATAAAATTCTGGTCCCCGTGTAACAGGTCATTTCCATCTGCATTTCTTAACAGTGATAATGTTTGACCCGTAAGCAGGGTCAGCGAACTTTGTATTACTAGTCTACCGCTAGGGGACAAGAACGATTGTACTAAGTACTAGATTTGCTTTCCAGTAACTCTTCGTCGGATTGGTGAAAGGAACCTAATGTTATGATCAGAGTAATAGTTAAGATTAAAATTCAAATATGTCACGTAGTCTGTAACAATACAAATAAGTTAAAAATATCTACTTTTTACTTCTATCTTGTTAAAACTGCTTCTGATATATGTAGTGACATCAGTTTCCAACCCCACGATTCTTTAACTTGAACATACATAAGTGAGAACACTTACGTTGGGCTCTGAATAGCTGTTCTACATACGATACTGACTGCAATCTACTGGTCATGGCTTCCCACTCAAACATGGGATGAAGGATTGCGCAAAATCGTTTTTCATAGTTACAGAATAAAATCGTTGGATGCCGAATTAGTGGTCAGGAGGTAAGGCATTCATGTGCTAGATCGAAAGTCCTTAGTTCGAGTCCTGCATCTGACACCAAGGATTTACACTATTGAGTAGTGTTATAATTGGACGTAATAGCTTTCCGGTGCTTTCAGGTTTTCAGTGGTGCTCTGGCTTAGATTGGCTCGTGAATTAAAATAGTACAATCTTCACAAAGTGACTTAACCGATAGAATAATTATTGAATATTATCAATTATTCAAGTCGGTATCTTGAAATTAAAAGCAAATTCTGAGAAATCAATCCCTGTTATACAAATCCATGTAAAAGATTTTAGATGTCGGATACATCAGATATTAGTATTTTACAAAAATGTATTGAATGCCGATTCTCTATTTTTCTGTTATTCTTCTCCTCTACGACATTGTCCCGAGCAATTGCTCACTAAATTGTGTCATATTTTGCTTTAGGACCCATCGAGTAGTATGTAATGTAATAGCACACTTATTTCTTTAACGCTATGGAGACAGTCAGTTTACACAAACGCGTCACAGAGAATTTAGCCATTGGACACGTTGAATTTGACCTTACAGTCATAACAACTGTTGTATCGCAATTTTGAAATATAGGCATTCAAATCCTTTAACAATTTTATCTTTAGATAACTAAACCATACGTATTTCAAGCTCTCGTCATAAGACGTTAGTTCACACTTTGACATTATTGATTTGTCTTGTTGTTGCTGTTCCCCTTTTGCCTTTCTCTTTCAGGTTTAGACAAATATGTTTTTTACTCCACACTTCACAACAATCAATGTAATTCCTGACTGAATGGAAATCTATAAATAGTTTAATGTTATGGTGTTAAAAATTTTATCGCATTGCAGAAGATGACTCACAATAATGATTTCTGTTGGGTGTTTATCGACATTATTAGCACATGCTCTCTTATTTTCTGAATCTCAATACTAATAATTCCGAAAACTGGTGATCAAATGATCACCTTTGGACCCCTATTAGATTTTACTTGCTTGTCATATTTTGTGACGTAAACCTTTTATTTATTGCTCTCGTCGATTTCAACATGGTAGAAATTAGTGAAAGAATAGTTGAAGATTACAAATGTGAACCGCCTCCAAATCACCTTTTGAACACAGGTTAGTAAATTCAGTTCACCTGATTTATCTTACATTTTTTAAGAAATCTTTTGGAAGATGGGGTGTAATAAATTCATTGCCGTTGAACCAGCAGAAATATATTTCGATAATATTAGTTTTCGGTCTCAAAAATCTGGAATAATGAAACAATTTGAGTTAAAAAATATATCTGACCGCGTGACACGTCTACACATTCTGCCTCCAGACACCAAGTACTTTCGACTATCGTACAAACAGCCGGTAAGTCTTTAAAATGATAGGGATATCTTTTAACTGCTGAGACTTTATCTCGATTTGTTCAGTATATTTTACAAACCATTCTGACTGTTTACAGCTTAAAAAGCTAATGCTTTTCCTCTTTTTTTGAGAATAGCTTTGACTTCTAACTAGCATAATCTGATGAAAGAGACCACCCTATCTGTTTCTTATCTATGGAAGTTTTGGTGTGGGACAATGGACAGCCTTTGTTATTTAGACACATAATTGAGTGAATTTCACTCGAAAATCTAGGACTTGCTATCCTGAGTCTCATTGGTCCATCCATTATATATAGTCTCGACATTCAGTCTTTATTAACAAGAATATTATGTTCGACGGCTTATCTTAATGAATTCTGTGCATAGTTCCCTGAAGAGTCCGTGTATCTCTGAAAGTATTCACCACTGTGACTAATATAGCTTATCAGAGTAGGATGTGTTGGTTGTTGATTAATGGAAATAAAGACTCAAATTTTAATCTACATTAGCATTTCAAAATTTTGAAGTAATCATAACATACAAAACCCATTAGCAATTATTGCATTGTAGTGTCGATTATTTTTTAAATTTTCGCCTTTAATTTAATATGTAAACAAAAAGTAATCTTTTTCAAATATGAATTATTTACGGTTACATACGAAATGACTACACACTCGCCAAACACAGTCTAGAAACTGTCTTAACGTGTGTTTTCCTTTTGAAGAGTCCAAAATATGTCATTAAATTATCAATGTGAACTACATGTACTGTTTTTATCCGGTATAATTTTGCCATTATGTCACAAGAGTATACCTACAGTTTTAGCTCTAAGATATTATTTGGTACAATGTAAGGCGTTATGTCAACGAAAATAAGCCAACATATTTTACGGATCAAAAGTTATAAAATGAAAGTGACAAGTTTAGATATGAAAATACGTGAAACGTAAAAGGTAGGGAAAAGCTATTATAACAATAAAGAGACATAATAAATTATTGTATGGTGAAATGGGATGCTTATGGTTGATTAGAAACAAATATTGTTATCTGAAATATACTGCAGTGTAGCTAAAGTTGCATTTCTATTATTGATGTGAACTCGAACGTTTCCTCTGACATAATCATGTTCTAGTCCAAATTAGAGGTAATAACATTTGTGACATATATCTTAGGAGCTTAAAGACACTTTGAGTGAAATTGTACAAGCTGTATGTGATTCAAACGAATTAAACTGAGATTTGATTCTTTAACTTATTTTGACAAGCTGAATAAAAAGCAATAAAGATTCCTATAAGCTTTATTAGTGTCCACTTTATGAATATGTAGATATTTCTAATTAAAACAGGTATGTTTTTTTGAGGAATGCGTTAATAGTAGACCGGTTTCGTTTCTCTTGTATTCATGTTGCTTTTAGAAGTGTTTGGTACCTGGTTATAGTATTACGTGCCGTCTGATATTTTTTCCTGACAAGCCAAGTTACTATGAAGACTGTATACGTGTGCACACTGAAGTAAGCAAATATTTATAATTGATCTTTAATGAGTGTAAAAACAGATTCAACATATCCATTTTAACTTTGTTACATTCAATAACACGTTACTTTCCATTAATGACGCTTTCAGCCGCAAAATTTGATTAACTAATATATGTTTACGATGAAGGACCTCGTTTTTCATTCATAGAAGCGTTTCATAAAATGACCACGCCTTTTAGTTCATTTTTGATGAAATCCACTTTTGTTTATCTATGCTGATCAAAATTTTCTGAATAATTACAACGAGAAACAATTTAGTGCATCTACATTATAATTTGATTAGTTGTAGTGCAGCATATTACAGCAGAAATCATTCGGCTAGTTAATCATAATCAACATAAAACCTGCCGCATAAATAAAATAATTTAAGCTGACAGCTCATCAGTATGGTCAGGCAAAATTATTAGAAGAAATTGCAGAGCAATCGGAGTAGTAGATGCATCAGCAGTAGTAGTGTGAGCAGTAGTCGTAGCAATAACAGTAATACTAATAATGATAAAAAACATTAAGTATAGAAAATATGATTCTGTAAGTAAGAATGAGCCTATGAAATTAACAATACAAGTACTTTAAGCCGAAGAATAGATTCAATTTTACCACTGGGATTATCTTTGAGGCACATTACCGAATATTTCCAACGATCAGTTCTGATAGTCATATGGATTCTAACCAGACAGTCTTCATCTACCTCAAAGGTAAAGTTCATTAGTCAATGGATTCATGGATTGTAGGACTAAATTACCTTAGGTTATACAAACTATATGATGCGTTATGTACACCGTAGAACCTATTAAAATCAATTCACTTTACCAGGACAAGAGCCGTTTAACTACTTGAAACAACGTACCCGCTTGAGCTAAACTAATTATCAATATTTCATCTGAAATATAATAAATAACGGAATATTTGGTTAAGATATTGGTTTACTGCCTGATGACAATAGTAATCGCTTGATTTGGCGCTATTGTAGCAAAGGAGAACACAGGTGAGGACAACTGAATTGTATCTAGCTCAAAATTACGGAATGAACTGGCGAAATAGAAAAACCATATAGTAAATCGTTAATTTGCAAAATATCAACCCATCACATCAAACTACACTTTTCCTGTTGCAAACATCAACCCATTGTCTGATATTTCATTGCTCATGCGTTTTCATACAAATTGTATTGTTCCCGCTCTTTCTTTCTTGATCTTTCCCCATCTTCTGGTGCCAGACATTACGTTTTTAACTCGCGTTATATACCACTTATATCAATATAAGGAGCACGAACCACACTCGTCTCTTCTCTTAATAAGCTGTCGTCGTAGTCTTTCTGATCGCCGTACCGCTGTCTTCTTTGGTGCTCTTCGTGACTCACACACTTGACGATCTTGAAACCATCTCTACAGTTGATTAGCATTTACGCGCTTCTGCTTGTCTTCTCTCCGATCATGTAAACCGCGCCCCGTCTCTCCATGATAACGTACGGTCCTTCCCATTTTGGGATCAGCTTTCCCGACCCTGATCCCCCTGCTATGCTACTTTTTCGTTCTCTACACTTTGCTAAGTCCCCCACTGCAAAAGGTTTTCACGTTCTCCTCTGTTGTTCCGCCTTCTTTATGTCTAATATTTGCTTCTTTTCCACGTTCCCGATTGCCTCCCTCCTCTCTTTTCTTAACCTTGTTGTCGTCCATTTCTGTTGTTGTGGCCAGGTCTTATTGTGCATTGTAAGTCGTGGTTGTCTGCCATACATGAGCGAGAAAGGTGATTTCTTGGTTGTTCCTTGTATGGAGGAACGATGCGCCAGCAAAATCAATGGCAACTCTTTCCCCCGATTTCCTCCTTTAGATGCTAACCATTCCTTTAACATCCGGTTGTTTCTCTCTGTAAGCCCGTTTGTCTGAAGATGATACGGTGTAGTTCGTATCCTCTTGATGCCAAACTGCTTTAGGCGGGCTTTAAACTTGGCACCACACTATGTCTTTAATTCACTATGGCGTTCCCAGCATTACAATTCTCAGATTATAATGATTGCTAGTAATTAACTTAGTTACACTCCGTGACTTTAAGTTAGTTTTTATTGTAACATCTAATAGTTCATTATCCGCCCAAGTTATAAATCTTTACAACTACAACAGTTCGTCATCAATGTTTGCTAGAGCTAGCATAAAATGTTTTACAATTAATTCGCCTATCTGTAAGACAAAACTCAGACAAAGTTAATACAACGCATTGATATAACAGATCAACTAAGTTAGACACCAATTGGAGATTAAGAAGCACTAGACAACGTTTTGTCTTATTATGAGACTAATCAGCACTGTGGACTGAACACACAACCATTGGTCTCATGAGCAGACACTTAACTTCTGAGTAACTGAGCCAGAAACTAATGGTGTATATGTCTAACTTTAATCAAATCATGATACTGAGGGACCATATTCCATAGTTTATGGCGAACGAATGCTTCACACCTGAAAACTTTGAACTCAACAAGACCCTATACTGTTAATACTACATCATATAACTTGTTTTTTTTTAATTTGTTTTGTGTTCACCTGAAAGGATCATGAGAATCAGTTAATAGTTCCAATTTATGCTTATCCTGTAATAGGCGACTTCGACTTTCCGGAATTCATTGAATTTCCACCAACAAATATTGGAAAAAAGTGAGCATATCTCCAAGCTATTTATTCATTTCATCCATGTTTCTTAATAACTAATAATTAAATGTAACTATACAGTTTATAAAGTTAAAGCCTATTTGTGTATGAAGTAATCAGTTTATTGGATTCAAACCTTTGCAATCTAATTCAAATCAACATTATTCAATGTCTTAACATGAATAATACTCATTATTTATAGCGTATTATTTAAATACTCTAAATTTTTCGGGCTAAAATCAAACTAAATTCGATCATTTAAATAATTTGCTTTTGTTCCCAGAATACAAACTCAACAATAATATGAAAACTAACAAATTCCTTTATAATTGCTTAGTTTCCAATCGAGTTTATAGAAAATAACATGCATTCACTTTCTTGGCTAAACATTTATTCATAAAATTATGTTGTACTGAATAGGGAGACAACCAAATGTAATTTAATACAATATCTGAGGATCATATAGTAAATACTTCACTGCAAAATACCCATCAATTGTATCAGGATTTGTTATTCATTTGTCTCCATACCAATCATTCTCTGTTCTCATCCTGTTCTCTTCAATTTTCTTGACCTTTTACAGCTAGGCGTTCCACTTTCGATTTGTGATACATACTACATTAAAGAAAGAATTAATACTAATGATAAATATTAGATTAACTCGGTATTATTTGCTTGTATCTTCCCATTGTTGTTAAGGACTGTAATTGACTAGTCTTTTATTGGCATATGTGCATCTTGTGCGGACTGCCTCGATATTGTCTAAAGTCAAAAGCATTATAAGCAAAGATGGATAGCGGCTAGCAGTAGGATCCAGGACGCGCGTTTTGCTAACAACAGAATGATGAAGAGCAGTCTTTAACTATAGTGGAAAGATACAAGCAAATAATATCAAGTGAATTTAAACTTCATCCCATTGCACAAGCAGGTGGTTATCAGGACTCAGTAGCTAAATGGATAATGCGATGGCATTTGAAGCGAACGGCACTGAGTTCAAGACTCGGAGTGAACATCAACACTGGGATTTAGGTATATCCGGCTGACGAGTCCCAAATAGGACGAAACACGCGTCCTGCATTCTACTATCCATGTTTACTAATAATATTATTTTGTGAAAGCAAATGCAGAATCAAGGCTACGTTACATGCACAATCAAACCGATATAAATTGACTTTTATTTATGCAACAAGTTTATAATTTCTGTGAGTCCTAGTTCACTTCAAACTTAAAATTTGAAGCAAAGGAGCTAATAATTTTAAGTATAAAAAATCATCCAGAATGCATTTAGTTTCTTGGAAAAAATAACTGAATATATTAACGTTGCTTTATATTATTACCCTATGCCCATGAGCGGGATCGGGGATGAGCACTGCTAAGGAGTCCCATACTAGGACGAAACGACCATCTAGCGCTTCCAGGTTTTCCAAAGTGGTCTAGGTTTAATTGATTCGTGAACTAAACTATTAAAAATATTTCAGCCTAAAACCTCCATATACGTATGCATAATTAATGGTGGGATAATTTCACGTTATATTCACATTATATTTATAAATATTATGATTCTTAAATAAAAGACTGTATCAGTATATTAATCTTTGGAAATATCAACTACACTACTCACATGTAATTTAGTAGGCGTTATACCAATTTGAAAAAAGTGGGTATAAGGATGTTTTAATATTCATGACATTATACATTATCTCATAACTAATTTCAAAATAACTTGTGATAGAGAACCCGATTTTTATAACTTCTACTGGCAACATATCTTTCTTTTATTTGGAAATGACTATTCCAGTCTATATATATATATATATATATATATATATATATATATATATATATATATATATATATATATATATATATATATATATATATATATATATATATATATATATATATATATTGAAACGACTAGTCACTCAGTAGCAAATAAATCGCTCTTTGAAATAGTCAAAAGTAGATGAATCCATCTATAAACTTCTCACTAACGACCTTTTCAAGTTTACAGTTATTCTTACCTCATAAGACGTCTCTCTAAAACTTAAAGTAAAGAACAAATATATTTTCAATAGTAAAATGGTTCATCATTTAATTAGTATTCGATATAATCTAAACATTTCAGTATATCGCAAATCGATCAACAAATTGATAACTTCATATCCTTTATATCACAAAAGTTGTCATCAATAAGAGTTAAACTAAATTAATGGGTGAGACTATAATTTTTGGATGACCTTTGAGAATATCCACGTACTTACTAGGGTTACATCAGGGTTATAAAACAGTTTGAAGAATAAGGATTATGATTCACAGTTGATGGTTATGTTTAAGAATTAGATTACTGGTTTTCAGTACGAACTGACATAAGCTAAAATGCCAAGACACTATTTGACCAAATGGATGAGTGAATTTCGCGCTAAAATCCGAGACCTGTTATTCTTAGTCTGATTGGTTCGTCCATAAATTATAGTCTTGCCATTCAAGTCTTTACGTAATTATTATGGCTCAAATACAAGTGGACACATTTGGATCTAATTAGTTACTGGAAAATTTGGAATTAATTAATTCAACAATTATATCTTTTTTTTGAACACTTGCCTTCATTAGCTTCTTAGTTGTCTCATCTAGAGTATTTATTTATTAATCAATTGAAGCGAGATCACCATGGAAAACCTGAAAGCATTGGACAGTCGTTTAGTCCTAGTATCGGACTCCTCAGCAGTGAGCATCCACTATCCTGTCTAATAAACGATGCTGTTGGTTGTCAAGCCAGATGAGAAAAAAATTACAAAATGGATGAATTCATGATATTCTGCTTCATTTCGTTTCGTTTCTTTATAATATCCGAAATATAGATGTATTGTAGTGTCCGTTGATATGTCAAGCCCACACAGTTTATTCTAGCTTCTGGACAGTCCAATTTATCCATTCTTCTTCAGTCACGTTTTAACCTTGTTAATTATTCTCTTATCAACCCTGACTGAGCGTATATGAGTGTAAATCTTATCCTACTCAACACTTGCCTGTAGCTCATTTTTGTGTAACTATAAATATTGATTAACGCTTGGTTGAATGTAGTTGGCTTACGTGCCTTCTTCATTATGCGTCCTTTCGTTTTGCTTCGCTCTCTCTTGTTCGCTTCCCTCACTGTGATTCTCTGATTGTCTGTTCTGATCAATGATTGTATGAAATATCCGTATTCAAAGTTCATTCTCGTATTTGACTTATTCGATCTTGTTATTCACTAACGCGAATTAAGTTGACAAGGATAGCCAAGATGTATATTTCAATAACAATTATTCATATGATCTAATTGGATTCAGATTCAGGGTCATTAACGTACTATTATGAGTTCTGTTTTTCTTACTATCTAAAAATGTCTCCTCCCTTAAATTATCATTAAAGTAAACATTGTATATTTCACTAAAAGTCATCTACTTGTTGTCTTCCTTGAAGTTTATTTCATCAATCAATAAACAATAATGGATTATTTATTTTAATAGATTAATTTTTTCTTTCCTAAAATAAGATTTCATTTTATGACACTATTTGTTCTCTATTATGTAACAAGAAAAACTCATCATATCCCAATTAAGTCATCTTCGGCAGTTGATTTCGAGTTTCGAATTCAAATTTTACGCAATGATCCAAGTTTCTCAATACAACCAGTAAAAGGTAATCATTGTTATCATTCAAATCAGTTAACAGTTTGGTTAATATTTTAAAAATTTTATTCTACAAATTACTATGTAAACAGTGCGCCAATCGTAGGTTTCTATTGAATTCCATACTTCGGATCTATGCTGTATTATGTTTGTTTACGCGTATCATTCTCAATCGTTGTACCGCAGGTTCGAAAATGGCTGCTACTACTATTACTACTACTGTAGGGAAAGTAGATTTGGGAAGCAGAAATCAACTACATGATGCAAACTTACATAGTGTGTTTGTAAAATATGAAAACAACGAAACAAATACATCATTTGCACATCTTTCTTGAATTGTCTCTTACAAACTACATCGTTCTTTCATTCCTGTTGCTATTTCGATCGCTTTCAGTTTATTCTTTCTTCTCACTTCATTTTCCTTTTCGTCAGTAAGAATCTTACTTCTAATGCCTGATACACACTACTTATATCTGTTCGTATAGGTAGCAAACACTACACTACTACTATTACTACTACTTGGAGGCCATTCTGATGATAACCACAGCTTATACACAGTGAAAATATAACTTAAAAAATATGAATTTAAAGTCTATTAATTAATGGGGTTGGTAACTGCTGAAAATTCAATAAATGAAATCTAGAGATAATCTGATTCATTTAAGGAGGAAAACCACCAGAAAGACAAATTATTCAAGTTCAAAGGAAAATGGGCATGATTACGCTATGATTTATATCAATCAGAAGATTTATAAACATGAATGTGTGTAAGATATAAAAAATAATAAACAAATGTATCTACCCTTTAGCAATAAATTTAAAATAATATTAATGGTTGAATTTATCAATCGATTTAAAGTAGACAGTCATGGAAAACCTGGAATTACTGGATGATCGTTTCGTCCTAGTATGGGACTCCTCAACAGTGCACATTCACTATCTCACTTGCGTGACTCGAATCCAGGTTTTTCATGGTGGTGTAGCTTAAGTATTAATGAATATGAACATGTAAGCGTACAAAAATTTCTCATATTCATTCTTTAATTATGATTAGATTCATCTGATGAGTCCCAAATAGGATAAAATACGAGCCCTGAATACCGTAACTAATCACACTTTATTTCACATGGATCATGAATAATGTTTTATGAGAAGTATTTTTTGTGAAATTATAAATTAAGTTAAATGCAGATGATTCATTGCGGTGGAAAAATAAAGTATCGTAAACTGTGTTAACAAGTAGAATGTTCGTTGATTAACCTATAAAAGATAGTTTATATTCATGCACTTAATTCATAAACTGTTCCTTACTAGATAAGTTCAATTATGTTTCCTGATGTTTTGGATATTTGTACGAATAACAATGAGAGTTACCTAGGAGTGTAAGTACTAAGTGTATGATGGCGATATGTTAAGTACCTAGGTGAGGGTAGTCAAGTAGATGATTTAACCTTGAATGTTCATAAGATCAATTGGTTGAAGCATTTATTACTTAGAAAACAATCATCACTTTCTAATTAATTTGAAATATGTATCTTTAATGTTTAGTTTCCTACCAAGTTCTTATTTTTTAATCTTTTTTTCTCATATTTTTAAGTTTCTCCAGTTTTGGTAGTATATGGCATGGCAACTAAAATTCGTTCTGTATTTATACCTAAATAGCATCCCCTTACCATTTAAAATTACCCTTAGTTAATTTAAATTCGTTTTATGTTAAACAGGTGTTTTATATGCTGGTCAAATCACTGAACTGTTAATTGATTTTCAACCAAATAGCTATTCAACATGTGAATTAAAATTCGAATTACATATTGCTCAAGTTAATTTTCAACCAAAATGTTGTACAGTTATTGGAAATGCATTACCTGGATTAGAAAGGTATGTTCTAAGAATTAGGGTATTTGATTTGTAATTGACTAACATAAATGATTTAACCAGTTTTGATAGAATTGCATTTGATGTCTTTTTACAATAGGCTTGGTTTGGTTTGTAATAATATTGTTCTAATAATATCGTTTTAATAAGCTGAATACTATCGATGGATTTCCCATACATCATTTTTATGCTAAGACTCAACCAATATTTTCCATTTCAGATATCATTGCACTAGGCTTCTGGTTCTAGGTACCCTCTAACCTGTTTAACGGATATGCATTTGTATCAGAAGGGGTTTTGTGGAGATTGTAGTAATTTCAATAGTTGAGATCATGGCTCAATTGAAGCTAGACCACCATGGAAAACCTGGAAGCACTGGACGGCTGTTTTGTTCTATCATGGAACTCCTCAGTAGTGCGCATCCACGATCGCGGGATATGCACTTATTCGGGAGAGTTCATATATTCTGGCCACCAATGTTAATGGGTGTAATTGTTCAGTCTCTATCGCCATGTATTCATCGAGGTAATTTGCTTAGGATACACAAATAACCAAAGAGGCTGATCAATCCTAATGCTTAGCATTAAAAAAAGACAGAATCCAAACACCTACAAATATTAGTTAATTAATCAGTAATACGTAACGTAGAAACTAGCATAAGTGTGTATTGGTTCCCATTACCATACCTCATTACTACAGAGAGATGAAATTGTCAAAGCCTATTCCAAGTTAGTAGAGATCGTAACAGTACTAGTGGTTATAAGAAAAATATCATAGAAGATATTATTCGAGTTTACTAAACAATATTTTTTAAATTTAATACTTAATAAATGTATTAAGGAATAATCCTTCATGCTCCCTGTATGTTTCCATAACCCACAGTTTCTCATAAATAATTCTTTTACCTCACTGTGTCTACCGACAACTTGTTATTAATTTCTCGAAACATTTATAATTGATAAAACATCAGTAGAATGCAAGCAGATATGGATGGTGGCTAGCAGTGCAATCAAAGATGCGTGTTTTGTCCTATATTGGACTCATCAGTTGGATGTAACTGCATTCCAGAATTGATGTTCATACAGGGACTCAAATCCAGTACCGTTAGCATCAAACATCATGACGTGATCCACTTAACTGCTAAGTCCTGATAGCCATTAGCTTGTAGATTGAGGTGAAGTTTGACTCATTGTTGTATTCGTTATTTGAATCTTCTCATTAATTCTTAGAACTGCAATTGATTAGGATGTAGGTACATCCAACTGACTAGTCCCAAGTAGAATGAAGCATGCGTTCTAGATTCCACTGACAGCCACCATAGATCTCTGTATAAAGATGCTTGTGACTTAAGACAATATCGTGTAATCGGCACAGGATGCACATATTTCAAAAAACAATGGGCTGATTCAAACAATTTATACAAAAATCAATGTACTTCTAAAATAAATGAACTGTGGTTATTAGTGGAGTCTAGATTACACTTTTTGCCTTATTCAGTTTGAACAGATGAATCATGTTGTATTCTATTCAAGCCTTGATGCGAACACCAACTTCATGATGTAGTTATACCCAGTTGATGAATCTCAAACTGAAAAAAAACACACACATACTATCTGAATTTAACTGCTTGCTATGATCCTAATGTTCTATAAAGCTGGTGAAAAACAGCTATATCGATGCAGTCTGCATAGTAACATACCTTACTTGATGTTGAATTTGTTATCTGGTTTGATTTAAAAAATAGTTTTTTTTTTGTAGTATTTTCCACATCATTAAACAGAAAATCCATTTTACGATTGAACTGTTTCTGTCACTTATTTTCTCTTCTCTTCATAGTTCATCTCATTCATGTTATGATGACGATGAAAATCTCTCAGAATTACTAGATACAAATCAATGTGAAATTAGTCAAAGCTTACATAATCGACGAAAGAATAAATCAAAATATTCCTCACAAATAATAAAAAATATAAAAGTGAGTGAATACTTTGAAATATATCACATTAGATGTAAGTAATAAATAAGAATTGAATACTTATAGTTATTTGTCTCTTTGATATATCCCCGGATTTACCTGGTTACAAAATTTGCCATGTTGCTGTTTCATTGCATTTCTACTTACTTACTTACTTATACATGTTACTCCTCGTCGAGGAGCATAAGCCACCCACCAACATTCTCCATACAACTCTGTTCAGGACAATCCTTTCCAGTTCCTATTCATCCTTTTGATGTCTACTTACAATTATCGACGTAGTGTGTTCTTTGACTTTCTACTTTCTCGATTCCCATTGGGATTCCATATTACTACTTGTATGGTGATGCAGTTTGGTGATTTCCAAAATGAATGTTCTATCCACTTCTAACGTTTTTCCCTAATTTCTTGTTCATCTGGAAATTGATTTGTTCTCGATCACAGTAGGCTGTGGTCAACGAATATTGAGTATCTTATGTAGACAATTGTTTATAAATACTTGTACCTTTTAAATGATGTTGTGGTAGTTCTCTAAGTTTCAGTTCCATACAGTAGAACTGTCTTGACGTTCGTATTGGAAATTCTGACTTTGATATTGGTTGACAATTGTTTTGAGTTCCCATATATTCTTCAACTCTAGGAAAGCAATTTATCTTTTTACCATACTGAAAAAATTAAGGTTGATTTTTTTAATTACAAATGAACTTGAGTTTTATATTTAATGAAATATAATGAAACCTACTTGCTATTAGTAGTCTCAGAGTTGAAAAATATGCTCTTTTAGATTTCATCAATGAATTCTTTTCAAAACGACTGAATTACTCAATGATTCTTAGGATCAGTAGTTTGATAACCCAAATAGATGTTTATTCTATAGTTGTTAGGTCTGGTAATTTCAGAATCTGTGCATTTATCATTATCTAAAAACAAATAAACATTGACAGGAACTTGAAACAGTCCACTGTGTTACAATAATAATCTAAGACGAAATACAGTTTTAATGGCATTAGATAATGATTACTATTAACTGATCATTTATTATGAAAACCTCAGAGCTATATGGTGAGGTTTTCCTAGGCAGTGTTTAGCGTCGGTTCATGTCGAACGACTACAAGTCTTAACTCAATACAAGTGAAAGAAATGATACCTAATTTTAACCTGGCAGCCAGACTTTCATAACAAACTTAAGGAATAGGCAAACCCTTACAAGAACTATGTGTATTCCGATATGAAGAAGATAAAACGGTCTATATACAAGAGATAACCAGGTTACTTGGGTCGGTTCCATGAGATTAAATAATAATTTCACTTTAGGCATTTCTGACTTTGACGAGGTTCGATTAATGGTTCTATACCCAACGATCATTCTTCTAAAGTAAGGATTCATTCTGTAGTGAATAGAACACAGGTGGGGGGGCAACCAAATGTATATAACAACAAATTACACAGCATCTCAATAAAATCTGAGAACCACATATTAAATCGTTAATTTGCAAATTGTTCATCAATTGTTTCAAATAACTCAGGATCCCTTTGTTCTTGCATTTCCATACAAATTGCATTCTTTCTTCATTTTTTGTTGTTCGATCTTCTCGTCTCTTTGCTGCCAGACATTCTGTTCAGTACTCACGTCATATACTACTTATGTCTAGATAAGTATTACATGCCACACTCGTCCCCCCTTTGAAAGCATTCCTTCTTGCGGTGGATTCATGCTCGTCGTGCAACATTCTTCCATCTGCAGTCTGTGCTACGCCCTCCGTCAAAATGTCGAGTCTGCGGTGCGCTGACTTCCATAGCTTCGTCGACCTGCCGGGGAACCAACATCCGACCTCCACCCGGCACCTGAGACGTCTACACCTGTGCTCCACCGGCCTGATGAGCCATCTACATCCGATGTCTGCCCGGCAGCCGCACGTCCCACCGCCTCTATCCGTCGATAGCACCCGCTACAGCCAACGCCGCCCCACCAGAATTCAACCTGTTATTTTACTGATCCTAAACAATTTGTTTAGTCTACTTTTCAAGTAATAATTTCTAATGAACATAAAAATGCACAAAAACCTCGATAAAATAATACTGACTGATTGTAAATGTATAAGCTTTTAAACAACGTAAACATTTAGTTTTTAGTATAATTGTTGTTATTGTTATTATAAGCTTTATTCAACATTATATTTGTGGTACACTATTGAATTCTCAGCATATAGTATTTCAACAAGTTTCTTTTTCTTATATCTTGATCGATCCTGACGATAAATATTGAGTGATGGCCAGTTAGATGTTAGGAGTTCGATAATCGACATCTGAATAATGTTCATTCGTTTCAATGCATATTGCAAGCCACCATGATGTCTCTGGTTGTACCTTTTTGTAATCCGTACAGCGAAAGGTTGTAAACTTTTCGTAAACGCGCCTGAATAGGTTGTGAGTTCAATAGACATGATAGTGTGTTAAAACAAACAAGAAAACGGATAACTTGACGAAATATCTAGATGGGAGGAACAAGTAGCCCAGATGTTCAAGCAGGCCGCCGATGGATAGTGGCTAGCAGTGGAGTCCAGGATGCGCGTCTCTTCTTATTCGGGATTCGTCAACTGAATGTACCTGCATCTCAGAATTGATGTTCAATCTATGACTTGAACACAATACCGTTCAAACCCAAGACCTTCGGTCTTACGCGCGAACACTTAACCTCTATACCACTGAACAGGCATCCAATGGTGTTAATGTCTTTGGTAAAATGTGAAAACGATACATTCATAGAAGTAATTAATTCAATGGTAGTACTATATAAAAGAAAGTTTGTGTATAAGAATATAGTACAACAAGAAAGAATTAGAAAGAGAAGAACAAAGTTATTTAAGAGAAGACAAAGAGTGTATACACCGACGCCATTGTGACCGATTCTGAGCCCTATCACACAATGTCTCCAACCATTGGTTACAATAGTCACGCGAACCCCAACCAAGTAGTTTGCATGTACCAACATGGCTCAGACTATAAGTTAGTAACTTGAATGACTGATGCCACGTTCTAGTTTGGCCGCACCTAACTTTCTCCCAACCGTCTCCAGCATTGCGCATAGTGGTAATCGGTGTTCAGGCATACGCAACACGTGCCCTAACCATCTCAGCTGATGAAGATTCACAACCTCATCAACTGATTTACCATCATTCCCTAATACCCTACATATAACCTCACTATTACTTACTCGATGATCCCAGCAGATGCGAACAATATTTCTCAGATATCTGTGGTCAAATACTAGTAGCTTGAGAATATCTTCTACTCTTAGTGGCTAGGTTTCTCAGCCGTAAAGTAGAACAAAACGAACATAATCGAAAAATTTTTTGTATTACTCATATTATGATATGTCGTAGATGTTTTCAAAAGAGATCTTATCTTTTTCTTCAATAATTTTCTTTTTCAATAAATGACAGATAATTTTACATACTTATGATTGGATAAATGTTTTCTTTACACTATTATATTGTAGACCCCAAAATATGAAATTACATGTCCACACCATTTAGTGAAATTTCTTTTGGGCAGTCATGAAAAACTCATTTCTAGTCAACGAAATAACACATCAACAACAGAAGGATTAACTAGACAACAGAAAGTATGTGAATGAAAAATATCTAATTATTATTATTATTCTTTAAATGATAGTTGTCACAGTATAAAATCATTTAGGGGATATTATTCAAAATTACACTAAATTGAATAGGTGCTTTCTTCTTCTGAGGGGTACCTCAACAACAAGCACAAAATAAATGTCCAATGTTCCCTGTTCTCTGTTTAGCTTAGAGAAGGTAAAGCTGTCAAATTATATTACACACACTATATAAACTAATTTACTCGGTGGAAGCTATTCGCTTTTGTTGTAAGCTTCAACAGTTGAATAAACAATGATCAACTTGAATTCACTACTAACCATGATGAACCATTGATCTATAGGAAATACTTCATTTAGCTTTTGATAGATATTATCAAACTTGAAAAATAAGTCACAAATACCGGAACAAACGTAACTCAATTCAATTCTTTACTCTATCAATATTGCAAATTTACAAGTTTTGTTAGGCCTTTTCAACCATAAATTACAATCTTTTCAGTATTATATTCATATTTCTATTGATTTAATTTAATCTTATAAATAAAAAAACTTTTTTCATTTGTTTTGTAACTACTTAGTTACTAACTTTTGAATCAATGGTACATCAGAATCTTATTGATGAACAACGTAATCAAGTGAGATGGCAGTCGAAATTAGGTGCTAATCCATTATCATTAGAAGAACGTGTAAAAATACTTGATTCACGTGAATTAGCATGGAAACAATATTATGTAAGTTGATGTAATTTTTTTTGACTGTACTATTTTTAATGAATGTTTGAATAGTAAGTTGTTTTTTACATAATCATTATGAATGATAGAACTCAATAGTTCATCCTGTTATGTTCCGATAATCGTAATAAACGGTAACTTTTAGAATCCATTTATGGACTAGTACTATACATAGACTTTTATCGTATGACTGCTAAATAACTAAACTGTTCATATTTATGTCCCTCATATTATGAGCTTTATTTTAACCTATGAACTATTATTCCACGATTTACCATTCTTAAATTATACCCGGTCTGTCCATTACTACCTCCCACATTCACAGACAATTTTTGTCTTCCGTTTTATGGTACGTTGTGGTCTGTCTGGTTGGTATATAAACCCAATATGTTTGCAATAAATGATTCATATCGCAGAGGCTGAGATTGGTGTTCTGGACATAACTTGCTGGGCTAGGCAGGAAGCAGGACTGATAAATACTCTAGACTGTTCGCACGGATTTTCTGAGTCATTGGTTTGATTGATAATTCACTTTTCTCTAATTGGCTGTATCATTACATATACATTAACAGGGTACACAGGCCACAAGTTATAACACATCCTCTCTTTAAATACATAACCACTAATTATAGATTGAAGACTTGTCTCATTATCTGAACTTATATTCTATCTAAATTATGTTAAGCTGATAAATGGGAAAATGCACATCTAACGCTTAGATTCTAATATATAATTTATATCCTAATCACTTAATTTACTCTAAATGTTAATGGAAGCTGGAGTGTAAGTAGTAATAGTCAAGATAATTCTTATTCAATATAATATCGGTTTATTGAACCGTAATTGGCATTATATGTAAAATGGGGTTTGACTCTCTTCTTTTTTATGTTTTTTGTCACAATATTTCCACTTATTTACTTACTTACTTACACCTGTTACCCCTTGTGGAGGAGCATAGGTTGCGCATCAACACTCTCCATCCAACCCTGTCTTGGGCAATCTTTTCCAGTTCTTTCTAGTTGTTATTCATCCTTTTCATATCCGCTTCTATTTCTCGAAGTAATATGCATTTTTTTGGTTTTCCTCACCTCCATTTCCCTTCAGGATTCCAATTTAGGGCTTCCTTAATTTCTTTGCCACCCTCTAGAAATGCCGCTTAAGCTTTCATTATCCTAAAGTTACAACCAGAATTCTATAAAGCCAAATAGATGATGTCCAATATATTTTTACATTCAGATTTCTAACTGACTTGATTATATTAGTGATATGCTAAAATAAAAGTCATCATAAAATATAAATTATATTAAATAGACAACTAAAACACTTTTTGACCGAGGTGTTCAATGAATATGTACTGCACATTTTCAAATACCGTTTATCTCGACGGACATTTTAGCTGATGTAGTAGAGAGTTTTCAGATGGACAATTGTTGACGAATGTTCACTTTCGATGAGTACTCAGGTCACGGTTACTTGATAAATGAGATCATTTAATTAAGTATCACATTTAAATACTAAATTAGCAGATTTACCATGACGGATGACTATAGAGAAATCAAAGGTAAAATGAATATATACTAGATTGAGATCTATTATAATTTGTATAATCAGTATGTAGTCAATAAAAATCTAATTGTATTTACCATTTTATATTATTTTGAAAAAACAAACAAGACAAAATGTACACATCCAGAAGTTGTGGAAACTCACAAACAACATCTATCAATATCAAGTTCACCAGCTAACTTCAAATTGAATAAAGATCATCAAATATTAACTAAATTTCGTCCATGTCGTCCAGTGGAACCATTCAACAAATCTTTAATTACAGGATCAGAAGTTTCTCTTGAACCAAAATTTCATTTAGTTGAATTTACTAAAGCAAAATGGTTACATAGATGTGATATGATTGAAAAATTTCGTTCAATGGTATCAAGTATTATTATTAATCGAAGAATGATTAAACGATTAAAAAAATTAAAACAAACAATAATTGATGATAAGGAAACAGGTATCTTATTTATTTCTATTACGTAATCTTACATTTATCTTTTACATAATTAGAATTTCTTTCCATGAATATTTCAATATAATCAAATAAATAGGTAATATCAATAGTTGAAATCATGAGTCATTTAAAGCTAGACCACCATGGAAAACCTTGAAGCACTGGACGACCTTCTCGTCCTAGTATGGGACTCCTCAGCAATGTGCCTCGTGAAACTCGAACCTAGGACCTGTCAGTCTCGCGCGCCTGAGCTTAACCATCAGACCACAGAGCCAGCCGTCATCCAAAGGTGTTAATGTCTAACTTCAAACAATCCACGAAGTTGCAGTACCGTACACCATTGTCTTCAGTGAGTTGATATCTCACAACAGACCTGGTTGAACTTCACAGGAGTCCCATACTAAGAGGAAACGGCTGTCCAGTGCTTCCAGGTTTTCCATGGTGGTCTAGCTTCAATGGACTCATGATTTTAGCTATTGGAATTTCTAAAAATCTCCACAAAACCCCTTCCGAAAATTGATAATACTATAAATTATGGGTTACGTAATAATTTAGAGTGAATAAAAGTACTCACATGTCATTCGATAGGGAATACAGTTCATTGGTTCAATAGTTTACCTGAAAAACCTCTAAAACGATCGGTTTTGGAGTTCTACTTTATTTGAGATAAATTTACGATCATAATTTCAATCAAATTATCGACATGGTTGTCATAAGTGATTATCATATGAACATTTTAGGCATACTGATTTGTTCTCATTAAATGACTAGTGAATAGATGAAGAGTACATTTTGACATGTGATTCCATACTTTAACAAATCAATGGTTTAGTGTTTTAAGCACGATAAATTTAGTATCTGGTTAGTAAACTTAAATGCTTCTTCATTAATCTTAGTTTTTGATGGATGGATGGATAGATAACGTCCCGACTTATATTCTGTACAAACTAAGATGAGAAATTATTTCTAAGGAACCAAAAGCTAGATTATACAGTGTAGACTAGATTTTATAACGTTGTTAAGGAAAAAAAAAAAAAACTAACTCAGCTAGTAAAATCAAATATAAATATCTTTGAAGAACTATCAACTTCTGTTTTAGGCAGATGAATCCATAGTAGAATTTCACTTAACACGTATAAATATAGTACTCTGAATTTTGTTAGTTTCCTACACCAAACCAAGTGGTATCCAAATATTCAACATGCTAAATCTCTTCAATAATTATGATTGTTTGACAAGATTTATGTCCTGAATCAGCCTTTAGAGCACATCACAAAAACTCTAATGTCTTAGAGTAAATAAATAAAACAGACAGATCACATAGGAACAATAATTCTCAGATATCTTGAATATTGAAGGATAGTTGAAATCATCAAGGCTATTTACAGGTGTATAGTTTTCATTGCCTAATTAAATGATCTACTTTTATTTACCATAGATCATCCACACTTTCATTGGGTTTACTACTCAATGTATTGTTCTGTTAAGAAAATTCACATATTTGTTTCTTACAGGATCCAACAATACTCAACTTCGTTTTTGAATATTGTCTAGATCATATCCTGAATTCTGTCAGAACAATAGTTATGATTATTTAAAAATCCAAATCTTAAATTTCTGAATAGTGGCACCATAACTCATAAGTGCTGTTAATATATATATAGTTAGTAACTTAGAGACCAAATACTGACTTGTGTACTTGAAGCTAAAAGGACGTGATTGCTACTTGGCTTCTATCATCAATGTAAGTAGAGTGGTCTGAATCTACAGCCCAATAATAAAACATTTATCTGCTAAGCCACCATGTTGGACAAACATATACAATATTTCGACCATTATTACTGGAACAAAAATAGATTCATAAAGGGAACCAATTGCATGGTGTTATTAGAGGTATGAAATGGACACAAACTGTAAACGTAACTATTCAGAATGTAGAGCTTTCTAATCAGTTAGTCATTTTTATTTGTTTATCTATGTTAGAGAAAGTTTATTAGTATTAGATCATAGATCAGACTACTAGGAGCTGAATAAACATCTAAAGAGATATCTGACATATTAGTCAGTGATATTTCAATAACAAATAATTAGCTGTTCAAGGCGTTTGCATCATCATGAATGTACTTGTTTCTAATTATGTCTTTATCCTACTAAATGTTTTCAGTATCAAAACATGTAACAAACGAAAAATATCCATACAATATTGGAAATTCAATTCAATCTCTTGGGAAATCTGATTGTGGAACTAAATTATTTCATCATCAAGTTTGGTCAGAACGTGATTTACTCTGTAATCAGCAATTGACAAAATCAAATCATACATCAGTATCAAACAGTAGTCTAATTCAATCTACACATCTACTACCGATAACATGTACATATAATTATGATCAGTTATCGAAAACATTTACAACACCGAAACATTACTGGCCTTTATTTGATATGCCAGTTACACTAGATCAATATGAAATGAGATATACAGATAAATTTGATTTAAATCTTGCCATGGATTATGCAAAATTAATACCAATGGATATAAATTATGCAGAATTATTACCTATACAACAAAAAAAACCACAGAATCGATTGTCATCAACCTCACAGGTAATAAATATTATAGAAATTTTAACAGTTAGGATCATAAGTCAATTGAAGCTAGACCACCATGGAAAACCTGGAAGCACTGGACGGCCGTTTCGTCTTACTGTGTGACGTCTCAGCAGTGCGCATCCACGATCTCGCCTCGTGGGATTCGAACCCAGGACCTATCAGTCTCGCGCGTGAGTGCTTAACCACTAGAACACTGAGCAGGAGGCATCCAACGGTGTTAATGTTTAACTTCAACTAATTCACGAAATTGAGCGACACATCTACCATTGTCTTCAGTGAGTTACTATCGCACAATAGACCCGGTTGGACTCCAATGGTCACTGCTTCTCACCAGAACTCCGATAAATACCTCTTCAAGCCAGTCACTAGTGAGCATACGTCCTGGATTCAAATCCCGCGAGGTGTGGTCGTGGATGCTCACTGGTAAGCATCCTCACAATAGGGTGAAACGGCCGTCCATTGCTTCGAGGTTTTTCATAGTGGTCTAGCTTCAATTGACTCATGATCTCAACTATTATAATCACTAAAATATCTACAAAACCCCTTTTGAAATTATTGTAGAGCTTAAAATTACAAACTAATTTCAATCAGTCACTTATGATATTCATCGATCTGTTGTTTTTGTTGGTTAATTTAATTCAATGAATAAAAGAGGATATTTGAATCAATAATCCTTCTAATAAAATAATCAATTTAATTATACTGAATAAGCGCCAAATAATAAGTGTCATATTTGTCTAGTTATCAGTACTGATCGAATTTTAACTCGAGAGTCGATCGATGTATTTACTAATCTTAGTGACTTAACAACATTTTCACTATACTTTGGTGTTCAGTGACTGAAGTTAGTCAACACGAAAATCATTTGATCCAGATGTTTAACAATGAAAAACATCTACAATTACAAAATGTTTCCTATTATTTTAAGATTATAATATTGGCATGTTATGGGTCTACTAAAGTGCTTTTCTTTACATTAGACTACTAGAAAATGGTTTATAAACCCCTGGACCTGACTAAAGCTGAAACTCCTAATCAATAAATGATAATTTCATCGTTTAGAATTATAGTACTGGCTTTGATTCAAATGAAAATGTAGTAAATTTTTCATCCTAACAATACCATAAGCCTTAGAAATGTTAAGATCTGAAAACGTGATGAGAGATAGAAACTTATTATTTTCTAGTAGAAATGTCCGCCACTGGATAATTTAAACGTTTAAAGCTATCGGTTTGCTGAAATGTATTAAACGTAACCAGGAGTGTACTTTTGTAGTTTGAAATTCAACGGATGAGCCTCTTTTCGAGTTCAGTTCGTCAGCGAGTTGAAAAGTGTTCATGAATATTTTGTGCTAGCCTTCGGTAGACTGCTGTAGCTTCTTAACCGAGATGGACATCAGTACGAAATAATAAAAAAATTGGTTTTTATTACAATCTGATTTCCATAGTTGTCATCACTGTACAGGGAAATAGGTATCATGAATATCATTCGGTGATTGTCATGCTATATTACCAATCGAAGTTGTACCGTTAAACATAAAACCACAAATTCTTGTGACTAAAGCATTCACCTCAAGATCTGAAAGTCCCGTATTAGATACTTATGAATTGCGGCTGATCACTAATGGCCAGTTCCAAGGTATCCTGTGATCCCTAATTATCAACAGCATCCCAATTGAGATCAGTCGGTGAAGAATACGGCCTACAAATTAAACATATTTCCAAAGATCCCTCTAACCAAAATGATTTTTCACTATATATGGAGAAATGATAATGTTATTTTACTCAGAATGTAGAGAAACGATTTATGATCAAATATCAGCTCCTATCGTTGAAATCGTATTTTCTAAATTAACCCAATTGACAGTTATGTCACCCCATTAAAAATGGAAAACTCAGTTGTTCCTAATTTTTTGTGAGTACCATCAATACGTATGGATGGAATACTAAGTAAGCACATTTTAAATCTGCCTATCATTCTATCTACGCCAAAGTAATAATTTGGATTGTTTTATAGGTCACTGGGTCTCCAATAACATGTAATAATGAATCAATAAATGACTCAAAACTTAAATCAACAATAATCAGTGATACTTCTAATCAGTCAGCGATACGTTTACCACAATCTGTTCATTCGTTATCAAGATCAAACCTGAACATTGATAGGTGCTCAAATGTAAGTTATCGTAAATTAACCTTGTATTTATGTCATAATGATAGTAATCATAAATTTATATCTATAAAATTAAGATGTTTCAATTTCAGGTTAGTTGTGTAGTGATATGACCTTACCATGGTATGCTTGGACCAATAAAATTGTTCCTCGCTTAAATTAGTGACCAGATATGTCAATAAGATATGGTTCTTCTACTCCTTAACCACCGATTTGTACAATAGAATAAACATATATAATGTACTAACATCAGAAAACTCTTGTGATTATATTCGAGAATTATATGATTACAACACACCATAAATAAGAAATCAGCACATTTTTCTAACCTAGACAGTTTACAGTACGAAAGTGAATAATAGGCTTACGATTAATTTATAATAATTTGGCAAATGATTAAGTCATCACGAGTCATATGGAAACTTACAATTAGGTGAATATAAAGAACACGTTTACTAAGTGTTTCATATGTACATCTTAGAAATATAGATATTGACGACCTAAAAAACACTTCTAAAATTTGTCCTATTTTATTTTTTCCGTCTAATACACAGTTTATTTGCTAGAAATTTATGATATTAACTTAAAGGTAGTATTTATTGCATCATGACATGAAATCAGCAGGAAAGTTATTGGATACTACAATGGAGTAGTGAGCTGTGTGATTCTAGTTGAACACTGCTTAACACGCACTCTTTATCCTTTTATGGAAGTGGATCCAGCAACTAAAGATTACCTTCATTGAAATATAACGTGATTAGGTAAAACTATGGTATAGATACAGGCCAACGAGAATTACGAAAACTACTCTAGGGTTTAAGCACGAAATTTAAAAATGGTCGAAGTATATCTTTGAGCAAAATACTAATGCTTACAAAGTTTCAAATTGATAGAGAAACAATACTTTTTGCCATGATATAATAAAAATGATAATGTTTTAATTCTTACTATTTTATACATAAATTTATTACATAATAAGCAAGCAGCTTCTTCTACAAGCTTTATAAGCAAGCATAGATAGAATCCACGACGCACGTTTCATCCTATTTGGGAATCGTCAACTGGATGTACCTGCATCTCAGAGTTGATGTTCACTCCAGGACTTGCACCCAGTACCGTTCGCTTCAAACGCCATCACGTTATCGACTTAACTACTGAGTCCTCATAACCACTTGCTTGTGTAATGGGATGAAGTTTAAATTTACTTGATATTATTTGCTTGTATCTTCCCTTTGCTTTTTAGGACTGCAACTGATCAGTCTCTTGTTGGCGTATGTGCATATTGCAGTCCTAATTAACATTGGAAAGATACAAGTGAAAACAACACCAAGTGAATTTAAGCTTCTTTTGCAGTTTACTTTGATTACAAGAAACTAATATAGTAATCATCATGTTCCCTGAATATTGAACTGGTTGGTAAATTAGGATAAATAATGTTACACATGATTTTCTCATTATTGATAAAGCAATAACTACGGCTCCCGTTTGAATTCAATCTCTACTACTTTTCCACGAATTGATTAGTATTTTCCATGAAATTATTTATAGCTATTGAGAAAAACCATTAAAGTAAATAACCCTCTTATACTTGCGTAAACTGTGAATTTGAGAAGACAGTTATACTACACTCATTTACCGACATACAGAACTTACATTAACTTTTTTACAAATCTTTTGAGGATTTTACATTACTTTTTATTGTATGAATAAATAGACCACCATGGAAAACCTGGAAGCACTGGACGGCCGTTTCGTTCTAGTATGGGACTCTTCGGAAGTGCGTATCCACGACTATGACCACCGCGAGATTTGAACCCTGAACCTATTAGTCTCTCGCACGAGCGCCTAAGCATTAGACCACTGAGCCGGCATCCAGTGGTGTTAATGTCTAACTTCAACCAGTTCATGGTGATCTAGCTTCACTTGACTCATGATTTCAACTACCGAAATTACTAAAATCTGCGCCAAACCCCTTCTGGTACGAATAAGTGTTTATGCACTAATTCTGCAACCTTCAATTATACATGTCATAGAATGAGTGTATAAGATTTTGACTAATTCGATAAGGGGAAATTTTTAAAGGTGAAACTTTATATTTAAATAGTAATTCTAAGCATAGGGTAGTGGATATTGTTGAGTTTTATTGAAATTATGAACCGATTAAGGTTAGACCACCTTTTAAAACCTGTAAGCACTGGACAGCTGTTTCATCCCAGCGCGTATCCATGATGTCGCACGCAGGAATAGGACCTAGGACTTTCAGTTTTAAACTCTAGCCCAATGGGTATAAATCGAACGATGACATTACGCGACAATCTTCCACTATTGTCAATGTATAACTTCTTCACATCCGACACAGTTTAGCTCCACTAGTCATAGTTTCTAACTTGAACTCAGAAAATTTCCTGTAAAAGCTATTCACTAGTATGCGCATAGTAATTTTCACTATGGAGTTGTGGTGATTATTGAATTTCAATAAAATCTTGAATCGATCAACCGTTAGACTGTAGTGTCGGTTATTATGTTAAGCCCATATACCTTATTCTAGATTTCCGACAGGCCAGTCTATTCATTCCACTTGAGTCACATTTTGACCTTGTTAATTATTCGCTTATCAATCTTGGCTGTTTTTATATGTGTGTACACTTCTTATTCCATACTCATCACATGTCTGTAACTTATTTTTATGTAACTATAAATATTGATTAACGCTTGGTTAAATGGGTGTTGACTTACGTGCCATCTCCACCGCGCGTTGTTTCGCTTCTCTCTATTCTATTTGCTTCATATATAAAATATATGTATTCAAAAGTCCATTCTCGTTATTTGACTTATTTAATTCCGTTATTGACTAACGCGATTTCAGTCGTTGATTATATACGAGAATAGGTGACATATAAATTTCTACAACAATCATTCATGTGATCTACGTGGAGTCAGAACTCGGGCTACTAAAAGACCACCATTGATAATCAATTCATACTAGAATAAAACAACAATTCAATACTTCTATATTTTCAATGATAATTGTCTTATATTGATCGATTCATGATTGAATAACAATTCTATATCGTCATCATCAACAAAATTATCATTGATCATAAGTACATTCATTCTATTCACAATCTAAATAGAAATAAACAATAAAATCCTTGAAATTCATCAATGACCTTCAAAAAGTGCTTGAAATATTCAATAACTATTTTAATCAAGATTTAATTTTTCTTAACAATCAAGTACGATTAATTAGTGTTGATAAATTTTCATTAGGATTTAGGTTAAATAGGCTGATTATTACAGAACCTAAATGAACTGATTGAACGAATTAACTAAACAGTATTATAGTTAATTAAAGATTGTTTTGAATCAGATTTATATGATTATTATAATTGTCAGTTGGAATTGTTTTGTGATAGAATCAGTTTCAATTTCATAGGTGAATTCATACTTTGTATCTTATCTGAGAGTTTATTTTTTCGTATTTTTTGAATTCATTTCTTCTTTTCTATGATAGATCTTTTGTAATACTAAGGTGATGATTGGAAGTAGTAGATAAAAAACTTTGATACCTAGGTTTCATATTATTTGGCTCTTGTCTGAAAGGTGTGTTTGTAATCTTGAGAGAACTGATGCTTCTTGACGAATTTGACTCAGTGTCATCCAGTTCTACCATCAGAGACGTTAGCATTAATATATTGTAGGACAAAGATATATTTATAATTGATTAATTACTGAGTAGTGGCTGATTTCGTGTTTATCGAGTCCTTCTTAATGTTGATCGAATCATATGGGTCAAATTGTAGCGTTACGGTTCAAATTGAATCGGCTGTGAGGCATCACTTTTATCAAGATGACAAGTACATCTTGGTAGCGAGTTCCAAACAATAACATGAAACCTAAATCCATTATTTCCTGTAGACTAACTACAGACGCCAACTTAAATTTCAACATAGTGCAAGGTGTGTTAAGTCACTTATAGTAGCGGCCATATTTCAATGTGACTCAAAGGAGCTGGTCATCACTAAGACCTAACATACATAACAACAGTGGTCGCTACTCAGTGATCAATCAATTGTAACTGCCGATGTTGTTAATGCTTCTATTACTCTAGGACTCATAAAACAATTTACAGTTATTACATTATTATTATTTATTATTATATCTTGATTGTTTATTTTTTGCTTATATTACAGAATCAATATCTACCCTTAACATTGTTAAATCAATCTACATTGAATGATTATTCCCATACATTAATCAATTCAATCAATCAGTTGTATAAGCCTAATGATAATATTGTTTCTTCTAGTCTGTCTAATTCAGACTACATTGATACAGTATTAATTAATTTGGATCAAACACATGATCATAGTATTCTTAGTCAATGGAGTTCATCATCTCATATGCACAAGCCGTTAGTACCGTTAAAAAAATGTAAGTGATAACAGCATATGGTATTTTGAAGTTACTTCTCATTATGAAGTGTTATTATTTGGAGGACTAATAAAACACTCAGAGAACAGCGAACAGCAATGTATCTTCTCTACTTTGTAGTTTGTGAGTAATGTACATTCATAGTTCCACATGAGTGGATTGAACTCACATCGTCTTTCGTAGCTAGTACACTATATACTTCAGTCTTTGAGTAGAAACTCTCAGACCTTCTACAATAGAAGTAGACTTTAATTATTTGCGAATTTCTTTGATTGAAAAGCGTTTATGAAAAGAGTATCAATGTATTGAGGGAGTGAATGATTCCAGTATATTTACTGTTACTGGTCACTGTAATTCTGATGTCTTCCACACGATAACTTGGGTACAAGAGAAAAAACGCAAGGCATGCACAGAACACTTTACTTCATGGTTAGTTTATGTAAAGAAAATCGAAAGTATTTATAGTATTTCAGATGGCCTAGGGTTCCTGGAAGCTTCTGGGACCATACTAATCATAACAACAAAATAGATAACCATCCAGTCGAAAACGTGACATATAACATTCCTCTTTCTAGATGCTTCTAAGAAACTTCTATCCAATTCTTATTAGACAAAATGTTTCCCGGCATTTTCAGAGCCTTTCTGGACTTTTTCGAGGAATGCTTCGGATTTATCCAACGAACTACATAACGGCTGGATAATTTAATAGATGTTTCAATGTTTTTTAACTTAATCACAATTTCGAATATACAACCTTTTTTCACATCTAGCTTAGTACAGGATGGTACTGTGAAGTTTTTACTATATCTAAAAGTACTAAGACTACCATTTTTCTATACATAGTCCATTTATTAACTTGATAAACATTGAAAACAACGATGTCTGTAGGATAATATGTGTAAGATTACAGAAGACAGCATGAAACTGAAAAGCTTATTTTCAAATCTTTGAAACTCTTTTGTGGATGACACCTCGTTTACTGATGGGTCATTCGCTATACAATCTTATTGCATTTAACATGTGGTCTTACAACACGATGTTGTCTGTTAAACTTTGCCTGATATGTTAAATTTTCAGCAATGGACAACCAGTAGCAATCCTCTAGTTATTGAATTTAGAACTTTTAGCTTTATTTGTAAGTTATTTTTATATTGATGAAGGGTCTGGAATTAGTTAACAACTCAGAACTCTTGTCAATTAACTTTCATTATACTTTCTACTTTCTCAATTAATTTCATTTAGTATCATATCCAAAATGTCATCAAACTTCAAAGGATGATAATATTTTACAAGAAAATGAACTATCAGATGAAGACAAATCAGAGTCTCTCAAAGAACTGGTTGAACAAGATATTCAAGATTGGATCAAACGTTTCCCAGAATTGAATTCAATGTTTTCAATGGAAAATGAGTATAATGATAATGAGGGAAATGAAGAAATGTATGTTGTACTTTCTTATAACAAAAATATTTGAACTAAATATAGAGAGGTTTATACAACATTATGGATTGTTATAAAAGGTTAAGAGCTTGCACCAAAACCTAGAAGTCATTATTGGGGTTGTGGAGATTATTAGGTTTTTGATTGAGATCATGAATCGACTGATGTTAGACCACCGTTGGAAACCTGGAAGCACTGGACGGCCGTTTCGTCCTAGTATGGGATTCCTCAGCATTACGCATCCACGATCCCGCTGGCGTGATTCGAACCCAGGGCCTTCAGTCTCGCGCGCGGACGCTTAACCTACTAGACCACTGAGCCGGCATCCAATGGTGTTGGTGTCTAACACCAACCAATCCACGAAATTGCGCGCACATCTTCCATTGTACTGAGGTAGATACCTGTCTCTACCCGACACGGATTAGCTCCACTGGTTACGGCTTCTCACTGGAACTCCGAGAATTCCCTCACGAAGCTAGTCACTAGTGAGTTTTTTCCTCGGTTGTGTTGTGAAGATATACTGCTGATGTGTTTTACCTGTTCAGTGCTTTTTGGTTTTAGCGGTTTTTTGAATAAACCTTGTTAATTTTCTTCATTGTCTTTGCAAAGTACCTAGATCTGTGACTTCAAAACTTATTATAAATGCAGTTGTAATTGAGGTGGGGTATTAACATTTTTGTAAGCGAAATTCGGTATATATTGATTTGCAATGTAACTAATTGATTTATTGAATCCTTATAGACTACAAATCATTCACTATAACGGGTTGTTGTGTTTCACAAAGTTTTGAGAATTGCACTATTGTTAGGTTTATTGTAGTATGATCCATTAAGCGAATATTATTTTGTTAAAATATTTAGACTATCGGACACATTTAGATAATGCGATGAGAAGGCAAAGGTTATGAGAATTATATGATCTAGTTACGTAGTACATTTCGAACAACCTGAATATACATATACTTGTTAAGAACAATGTGAAAAAAAACTATTTGAAATTCACCACGCTGGATAATAAAATAATATTATCAGGATAGATTAAGAGTAAGAGCAAGTTGCTATCTAACATATAAAGGGAGTTTTAGTTTCTGCATAGACAAGGCTTCAATAAACCATAGTATACACTCTTGAACACTTCTGTTTAACACTACAAAAGCTGTTTTGATATAAAACATACGACCTGTCTCAAAGAAATGTTCTACAGTGGAGAAAGATACTTGTCTATGGCTATTGAAGTTCATTTGTTTTTGTAGCCATTTAGGTACGTGCTTAGTAACCCTAATTAGAGATCACGATTGCTCCTCTTTATGCTTGTGTTTCAAAATATACATGTAAAATAATAGACGTGGTGAGATGTGACACAATCGTTTACATGCTGTGAAACATAGACCATGACTTTTCGATAATAATGAGTTAAGCTGAATAAAATGTCCTACTGATAGCTAATTTTAGTTTTCGTCTCAATATAAGACTATTTAAGCCAACTCTGAACAGTAGAGTAATATAGATCTGTTTTTGATTGACAAAAGTATAGTAGGTCTCGTCATATTGTTTCCTTTCCAACAGTTTATAAACTTCTATGAATAACCTCCGTTTATCGATGTTTCAGTTAAGAGTTTTACATCTTCGTCTATAGTATCACTAGTGTAATACGACTGGTCCTATTGTGAAAACCCCCTATTCAACTTCATCAGACACGTATAAAAATTTGTGTTGAAAAGGAACAACGACTATAGAAGTATGTAAATGCATTTGTTTCGTGGACTTTCGCTAGTTGCCTACGTAGCTATTGAGTCGAGATAGCCACTATCTTGTAGACTGAAGTGAAGTTCGATTCATTGTTGTATTGGTTATTTGACACTTCCTAATGATGTTTAAGACGGCAATTAATCAGGACGCAAGTAAATCTAGCTAACGAGTCTCAAATAGAATGAATTGCGCGTCCTGGTTCCTACTGCTAGCCAACATCCATCTCTGCTAATAACGCTTATAATTCAACGCAATATTGTATCAATCCACACAGGATGTACACGTGCCAAAAGAGACTGATCAATTGCAGTCTTAAACATCAATAGGACGGTTCAAGCAACCAATACAATAATGAAAATATGAATGTTTAAATAAGTGTTTTCATCACTATATAGTCATAAAATTAACACTTATTGAATACCATTATTCATTACATTTTGATTTATTGCATTTCAGATCATCTACATTAAATGACACGAATCAAAACAATCCACTTTTGATTTTGAATAACGCACCAATCGAAGAATCAAAGAAATATCAGAATGAAATTTTATCAGTGTGTAAATTCAAATTCTAAAACAATAAACAATTTAAATAAATCCATTTAGATGTACAAAATGAGTATATAATACTTTACTAAATGTATAAATATATACGTCAGTAAGAGGTTATGGAGGTTGTTGACTTACATTGAATCATAGAATCGATCAAAGTTATACTATCATTGTAAACCTGAAAGCATTGGGCATCTGTTTTTTTCCCCATTATGCGACACTTAGAACTGCGTATCCACGACTCCGCACACGGGAATCGAACTCAGAGCTTTCAGTCTTATACGCGAACACTTAACCTCTAGATCACTGAGTCGCTATCCAAAGAAATATACAACACTTATCTACTAATTTAATAATTTTGAGCACGGTGTGGGCAACCGGGAAGTGATAACCACCCTCATACCTCTAACAGCACTCAAGACCACTGACTGAGTTACGTATTATAATTAAAAGCTTATAAATAACATTGAACAATAGTCATCTTAGAGTTTTGTCAATAATATTACCTTTCAAGCAACGACAATTCAATGGGGTATTTCTAAAATTCTTAGAATGGGAAAAAATGTATTTCAGAAAGACTCTGGTCTGTTGATTCCATGAAATCGAAGAGAGTTAGAACAAAGAACTAAGCAGGATAACATGAATTCATTTTATTTCATTGGATTCTCGTATCAGCAGCTTAGAAACTATAATATATTAAAATTGGAATTATCATTAAGTTTACATACTTGTAACAGTAAAACCGAATATGTATCTGCTATAACTTGTGACCTGTGTACCCTGTTAATGTATACGTAATGATACCGCCAATTAGAGAGCAGTGAATTATCAATCGAACCAATGACGCATAAAATCCGTGCGAGCAGTTTAGAGTACTTATCGGTCCTGCTTCCTGCCTAACCCAACCAGTTATGTCCAGAACACCAATCTCAGCCTCTGGGACATGAATCATTTATTTCAAACATACTGGGTTTCTATACCAACCAGACAGACCACATCATACCATAAAATGGAAAATAACATTTGTACACGATTTAGCCAAATGTGGCTATGAATGTGTGAGACGGTAATTAATAAACTAGGTCAAATAAAGCTCATAATAAGAGGGACATGAATATGAATGGTTTACTTACTTAACAATTATATGATAAAAATATACGCATAGTATTGGTCCATAAATGGATTCCAAAAGTTACCATTCATTAGGGTTATCCGGAAATAACAGTATCATCGTGTTGGATTAACGCTTTCAACAAATGTAAATAGGTTGAAGATAAATAAAGAGTGTACTAAATAAATATGATATGTGAAAGATGATTCTCGATCATCAGACACAATAATAAGAGATCATAAAGTTGAAATAATCGATTTATTATGTAATAAAGTAGTTGAAAATGAATTAATAGCAATTAAGAATAAAATGAGTTGAGATTAGTCAGTTAAAGAAGTGATTCAATTAAAATAAGAGCGAGAAAATTACAAGAATGACGTAATAAATTGACCGATTATGTCACCATGGTATGTTTCCTTTTTTGATGCATAAGCTCAGCTTGAGGTGTTTGATGTTAGTGGATTTGATGAATTCAAGAAAAAGGAAATTCTACTGTCCATTGATGATCCTGGAAGATCGCTTTTTTCATACTAATGTCCTGTGTCATAGAGATGCTTTGCAATAACATTACTAAATTCTTCTAATTCCAATGACCTGAGACATTTTAGGATGTGTTTTACTAATGTAACTGTTTTGCACGCACATGAAAATTCGTATATGCAGTTGGAGGTTGATCATGCATTATCGTTATTTTTCATTTTATGGTATGATGCAGTTTGGCTTGTTTGTATATAAACTAAGTATGTGTGAAATATAATATTCATACATCGGATGCTAATACCGTGTTCAGGTTCGAAATGTATTGTGCTAATATATCACATAGTTCTGATAATCTTCATCTTCTTATTGCATTATCGGAAACCTTTTTTAATAGGAAAAATGTGAGATACGATCCAATAACGCCGGATTCCTTATGCACAACAGTAGATCGCAAACATATGTACTTGTTGATTATGTAAGAGAAATAATTATATTCTCTTAATTACAAACACTTCACTTGTATGTATGAAATATTTTCTACTTTAAACCTAAATTTTAGAATATTCAGTTAATTTAAATGAAACGATACAATGAAAGCATCATTTTTGACTGTAATTCAGTAAATTTATTTTTATGAAAAATGATAAAGTCTGTAATGTTCAGTAAGATTCAACAGTTGATTAATCAATGATCTGATCTGAAACTTGATTACAATCCATGATGTAGTAGATAATTAAATTATAAACAAGAATAAAATGGTTGCAAGTTTATGGGTTTCACTTTAGCTGAGACTTGAAAAACTGAGTATAAACGGCATTAAAATAAATAAACATATAACTGTATTAAATTCACTTGATATTGTTTTACTTGTATCTTCTCATTGTTATTTGAGACTGCAAATGATCAGTCTCTTGTTGGCACATGTGTATCCTGAGAGTATCGTTTCAATACAGCCTTAAGCTTTTGTTTAAAAAGCTTGTGACTTGAAGTTATGTCGGAGCAATCTGCAAAGGATGCACGTATGCCAACAAGAGACTGATCTATTGCACTCCTAAATAACAATGGGAAGATACAAGTAATGCAACACCAAATGAGTATGGCGATGGATTTGAAGCGAACGGTACTAGGTTTGAGTCCCGGAGTAGACAGCAACTCTGGGATGCAGGTACATCCAGCTGACGAGTCCCGAATAGAATGAGACGCACGTCCTGGATCCCACTGCTCTCCACTATTTCTCTTTGCTTATATTTGTATTGGTGCATTTTTTCATCAAATTCATATTATACCATTCACTTATTAATCATTGTTAATTCAATATTTAACATTTGCAAACATTCAACTATTGTATAATATGAGTGTATTTGATTGGTTTTTTACTCCATAAATATACAGATCATTCAGAAAATTTTGTGTTGATTTTCATAATAAACTGATCGCAACAGGTGAACCATTCAAAATTATGATGAACAGTGCAGATAGTTTGTTCTAGTCTGGAATTTATCAGTAGTGCTACACGTGGTACTACCAGATGGTCGATATAAACCAGGAAATCTTAGTTTTATTTCCTTGTGATAGAGGTCTCCGGAAGCACTTCTCTACTGGTCACTGGGGATAAAACCTAAACCCCTCAGGCCCTAAGAGTTTAACCTTTGGATTAATTGGTCCAGTTGCGGTTGTGTACGCCAACTAATCACGGTTCTTGAAATGAGACAGAACAACTGTTCAAATCTTGCTGCTTTTCAATGGTCATCTAACTCAGGTCAGTTGGTGATGTAAAACTTCAACATGAAAATTGTTAGTAGTTTACACAAGTATTACTTTGGAAAGTAATCATTTCTCACTAGGCTTTCAAGTGCAATGACTCATTGTGTTTAAACAAACCATAGCGGATAATAAACGATGGTATGTATGGAAATAGTAAACTGAGTACGAAATATAATATTCGGTGTACAGATCAATAATTGAATGCACTAATTCTGTTTAGATGAGAACTATTCTACAAGTAAACATTGAATAATCAACCTTATTTATAGATTACAATGTACTCTGTAATTAATTGGCAAGCTATTGTATAAATACATGTGTACTTTGAGAAAGGATAGAATAATTTATGCAATGAAAACGTTTTCACGAATTATCTCACTCATTCTTTTAATAATTTGGAATTTACTACTCACAAGTAGTTGGAAAATGTCAGTAAAACATGTTAGCGCATATTTAACACTTGTGTATGTTCATGACGGTAATGATGCACGTCTTAGTCATTATGATGCAATGAGGTTTTGTCAAAAATTGTCTGGAAATATCCAACTTATTAATGAGACATTAATTCAGAATGCTACACACCATAATATTTCTTTACAGGACTATATAAATACAACATTGAATGCGAAGCATTCCAATCAATCGCAAAATATTCTATACGGTGATTTAGTATCAATTCATAGCTCATCTATGATACATGTATTAATGGGTTGGGTTTTATCCACAGAAGCAAGACAATTTTGGATTGGTGGATTAATCAAATTAATTGTGCATGAATTCAATGGTCAACATAGACATGTAATACAAACGTGGACAGATCATACACCTGTAACTTTACGTTTTCTACATCATCATAGTCCTGTATTAGAAAATTTACACACAAATGATATTGCTTGCCTATCAATAGATTATGCTAGTGGTAAATGGGGTGTACATTATTGTACTGAAACAAAATATTTTGTATGTGAATTATTGAGTTTACCAAATAAACGAGTGATAACAAATGGACAACGAAATACACATTTAGCTGTTACTTCTAATACTACAATCTCTTTACATCATAATCATACTACGAAGAGAAATAAAACAACACCACGAGTCATAATTATTCATTTACATAGTCATAACCATGTTATAAAACATTTTAGAAATACCTTCAATTCAACAGTAAATATTACTTCACATAATACGAATTCAACAACAGTTGGAATGACGACGACCATACCTACAACTACCGTGAAGTTGAATGAAAATACTACACATCAACCAAATGGGAAGAAATAAAGTTCATACTTGAATGTTTAAAATACATGTTGTAAAGAAGAAAAATAAAAGGTTTGTCGACCACTTCATTTGTTATTATTTTTAGAATATATGTGTGTGTGATGCCTGTTACTCCCGATGGAGCATAGGCCGCCGTCCAGCATTCTCAAACCCACTCTGTCCTGGGCCTTCCCTTCCAGTTCTATCCAATTTTCGTTCGTTTTCCTCATGTCTGTCTCCATTTTTCGGCGTAATATGTTCTTTGGTTTTCCTCCTTTCCTTTGGCCTTGATATCTTCCACATTTTACGAGCATTCCGTGTACCAAAATGGTTGCTCTGGTTGTCAGAAGGAGCATCAACCTCGTGGCTTCCGAAGGAAGTCAACTTTCACCGTGAGGCGTCATAACTCTTCTAAATGGAGACCTTCTGACTCTGAATTTTTTATTTTTTTTAAATTTTATCTTTCAAGTAAACATGGGCTAATTTTATAAATAAACTCTCATTCAATAATATGACAGGTCAATGAAGGAAAGAAATTACTGTGACAAAAGAAAATATCTATCAGAAATAATACTGAACTTAATACAAATGACAATCAGTCCGAGTAATTATTTTATTGATCAATATGTTCAGAGGAAATTATATGATGGTAATCGTGATACTAAAAAAAATAGGGAAAAGATAGTTCCAAGAGAAAGAGAGTGAATATTCGGAAGTAATATTACAATTCAATATTTAGGTCACGAGATCTAAAGTCTTCGATTAAGAACTTAGCACACTAATGTATAACTCAGTTGAATAATCCTAGAACATCTTTAACTGACAATCTTCTAAAATAATCCTATTCTAGCAATACAAATATTATGTAAACTCACTGTCATTTTATTTTCTGAACTGAATCAAAGTAAATTACAGTTCGTAAATTAAAGCCCATTCATACGAAACCAATTAATCAGGTTAAATAAATTCGATGGTGAATACACAAAGTAAAGTTGGATATTTATGTTTAGATTGATAATTCGCACTTACGTTTCGTTATGATCATTATTCTATGAATCATAATGAAAATTATAGGGTTGTAACGTATAGCGGACTAAGGACTAGCGTTACCGACTACCGATCATACTGTGTGTGAAGCCCAGTAATATTATCGTCAGTATGGAGACTGTTGAATTACGTTGAAATCACGAAGAGGTTCCGGTTCTGACTACCGGTTGTGGATACGCACTCCTGAGGAATCTCATACTAGCGTGAAACTGACACCTAATGCTTCCATTTTTTTCAATGGTTGCCTAACTAAATCGGTTCGCGGTTTCAATGTTAGTTATTGTTTGAATAAACAAAGACAAAGAAGCAGGAGTTATATCAGTGGCTTACTAATTTAGTGTTGAGTTAATTACGCAATGTTACTGATTCTTTCGAATACCTAACAAACATCGGTTATGATAAACTCACTTGGTATCGTTTGCCTGAATCACCTATTGATCTTCAGGACTGCAATTGATTGGTCTCTTATCGGCATATGTGCATATTGCCTTAAATCACAATCCTTATAAGCAGAGATGGATGATGACTAGTAGTGGAATCCAGGACGCGCGTTTCGTCCTAAATAGATAACGGGATGGCTTTTGAAGAGAATAGTACCGGGTTCAAGTCTCGGAGTGAACACCAACTCTGGGATGCAGTTACATCCAGCTAACGAGCCACCATCCACCGTTTATGTTAGATTTCTGATTTTTCCTGTATCTTATCAGTAAGACAAATTTTAAAAATAGATCTATTTCTGTATATCAGTTTCATTACAATTTATAATGCTTCCAATCTGTCAGTTTGACAAACATGATGAATATAAACCAATCTATGGTTTAAGAAGAATGTTGATTTGAATTATTTCCTAATTTGTTTGCGATTAGAAATAATTGACTTGGTATTACTGTTCAACTTACTAACCATCTTTTACCTACATTTCTCTCTTGCCGATCACTTTTGGTAAGTGAATAAATCAACGTTAACCATTAAACGTTTAGGGTGAGCTGAGATTTTCGACTAGTAGTACTAACTTTTAAAAAAACAATTTACAAAGTTATATACGAATTAGTGACTAGTGTATCATTGAAAGCATTCCTAAGAATAACCATTCTGTAATACAATTAACTAACCACGTTATCGTTCTGTTTAATTTATCAGATACATAGAATTGAATGTAACAACAATGTAACGCACTTCCGCACAAACAACATATGAAATATTACAAATGTGACTCCATTCAGTTAATCAACCTCTAAATCAATACGAAAAGAAGAAATTGACACGATAATGTACGAAGAATGAAAAGAAAATATTAACAACATTAGTGTAAAAATAAACAAGAAGAGGGTTTAATTAGCGACAAATAATGATGAATAAAATCAATATTGTAATTGTGACATATTTCAAGCAATTTCATTAGCGATTATAACCTCACATTAGTGCATGAACTATAACTGAAGAATCCGGACTTCTAAACACAACATAAACTCAATGGATTAATATCAACTGTTCCCCTGGGATATTCCTCAAATTTTCTATTATGCTTAATAGCAAGGGCAATTGGGAATGATAATGGTTAGATATGTGTATGAAAGTTTATAAACTTATGGGTCGGTTGTATCCAGCAGTCATTGTTCACGTCCGGTATTATACACGTTGTAGTTTTGTTCAGTATGAGAAGCACTTCAATAATATATGTTACCAAATTATAGAAAATCTACTTTGAAAAATTATATTGCATAGACAAAAAAGTGTGATACAGTATAGTCGCTATCTCATAAACAGATGTCCCGGAAATTAAAGAACCAAATTTTTTCTGGTACCAACATATCAAAATTGATAAGAATGTTAGTATAAATTTTGAAAGTGTTGAATTACTCCAGCCTTATCATCTTACTGAACACTGAAGCATCGTTTTTTTTTAGATAATGAGTCCCAAACATTTTTACACCAGGAGTCACGGCATTCTAAAGAATCTGTATTAAGGTTAGAGCTTGCACTATTCATAACTATGTTATCTGTATACTCCAGATCCATAAGTATATGTGCATAAGAAACAAAAAAATCCCTTCTAAGAGTGGATTTGTGATAAAGTCAATTAAACATATTATTCAGTTCGAAATTTATTCACTTATTAGTCCAAATCTAGTTTTGACATTTTTGCTGATGTCAATTTGTGATGAAAAACCATAAATCTAATTTCCAACTGTAACCATTAACTATAAATCATAATCCTCATTTTTCAAATTGCTATTTAATCCTCATTTAGTCTTAGTAGATAGGTGAACATTCTCAAGGTCACCAAAGTTGTCCATAAATTATGGTCTCAGCAATAACACTTATCAAATCTGCAAACTTTCTTGCTAAAGTTGTCATAATGAATATGGAGTCTCAGTAGATTCTGATCAAAAAACGTTATCGGTAAACTATTTGATTAAGATTTTTAGACCTTGATCGCTTACGAACGCTAACCAATTTAATGACGACTATTTAAATGCTTCCAAGCTCCACAAGACATCATTAGGTAAAGAAATTTGCGAAAATTTAACAAGAATTCATTCATTAATGATAAAAAGAAAGTTACTTATGTCAGCTGTTTAAACTAACTGATTAATTTCAATAGGGTTTTCATAACCTATCCAAAAAATTAACGAAAATTGCAATCGCTGTATTCCAAAAAACCTTACATTGATTTCAACCCCAAACTTTAACCGAAAATCCTCCAAATGTTGCGAATCTTAACAAAGTAACTGTTCCAGTTACAGTACTTTACCACTTAAGAATAAATGTCCAACAAATAATAAACATAAAAACTCAAGACACTAACATAAGTAAAAAATATACAAGACATGTTGACTTAAATGAGTCCTGCACTCATTAAGGGATGGTTTAGTAATTGAATCAATCGAATGTCAACCGAAAACTTGTAAATATTAATCCAGATTCACGTGATTTAGTTTGGATAACTGAGTATTATCACTATCATTTATACAAATACATTTAAAAAAAGGGGGGGCTCAAACTCGAATAGATAGACGTGTAATTTGATGAGTTACATTATGCAATTTTGAAGTAGGCAGAAATCCATAGAAACAATCGAAATTCTTTCTATCCAATGAAATAGAAATACAATATTATCCAACAATTTACACAAATATCATTATGAATATATTTTAAACAAAAATAAAGTTTATAAACTCTTTGATAAATAAAACGTATTGTGTACAGATTTGTAAGGTGAAAAAAAAGACACAGAATGCATACATACAATACAATAAAGAAAAGAAAAAGAAAGAAAAGAATAACAGTTACAGAAAAAAGAATCTCTATTTAAAACAAGAACATCTTTTATTTTTCTTTATTTATTATCATCAATTAATTTGAAATTTGTAGTTAATAATTGTTGTGTCAATATTTCATAGATCATACGTTTACGTATTCCTGGCATATCATCCTTTATAATTAGATAAGCAAGAGAAAACAGAATATAGATAATTACACATATATATTAAATATAAACACATTTAATTTGACATTATTTACAGGATATAATCAAACATTTACATCAGAAGTAGTATAAATCACATTCAAGTAAGTGATAAATGAATTTAAGACGTTATCATTAAGCTCTTCGTGTAGGGATTAGTTTCCTATCCGATTGAGGTAATCAGAGTTTAATGAACATTGAGAAGTGGTCAAAGTCATGTTAACTTGGTTCTAGCAGAATTTCATGAAGATTCTCAGTATATCTTGCAATACACTGTCAATTAGTGAGACACTTAGGTTGACTAAGGTCTCCCTCCCGTCCATTTCCAACAATCTGATATTATGTACATATTTACTTCACTCGATATAATATGCACTACGCAACCGAATATTTGTAAAGCTTTACGATCACATACATCTAATTCATATTGAAAAACCCTAAATGTTCACCAGTTTAAAGTAGGGTTGATGCTTCACTGCAGATTTCTATACACTAGATTATTTAATTTATGTGTTTCTCCCCCTCTAAATGCAAATTGTTACTTCAGGACTAGCCTGCGTCAACACCTGAACTAAGGTCGAACGCGACGATAACCTCACTTAACTTAGAAGTTTTGATCAGCCCGAATGGGTTGGTGTCTGACGAAATCTCAGCACGGACTCGAAAAGCTCGTTTGGCCTTTACCAACTTAAGTCACCTATGGCAAAGGCAAGATGCCAGTCTATTGACTAAGGGACTAGTATCCTGTGCAGCAGTTCGTCCTGTTCTACTTTACAGCTACAAAACGTGGCCATCAAGAGTACAGGATACTCGTAAGTTACTTGTACTTGATCACAGATTTCCTAGATATATTGCTGGCATTTGTTGGGATCATTGAGTAAATAATGCTAAGGTTAGACTCAGGGTATTAGGGAATGATGGTAAATCAGTTGATGAGGTTGTGAATCTACATCGACTGAAGTGGTTGCAACACATATAACGGATGCTCAACCACCGAATACCACGGCGCACAATGCCGACCAGTATTGGAGATGGATGGGAGAAATTAAGAGGCGGTCAAACCAAAACGTGACATCAGTCCTTGAAGTCACTAACTTCTGATCTGAGTCATGTTGGTAGATACAGACTACCTGGTTGGTATCCATGCGAATATCGTAACCAGTAGTTTGAGACTCTGGGTGACATATATCTGAATCGATCACAATAGTGTAGCTGTATACACACTTTGTCACCTCTTAAACCGTGAAATTAAAATTACTTCATACAATTATTTCTACAAACTAAGTCTTTTCCCTGTGTCATATCCTTATAAGAAATCTTTTTTAACTATTATCGAAGTAAGTGCTTATATGGGTTTGGCGATCATTTAGTTCTGATAATGAGGTACGGCAACGTGGACCTATGAACATATTTGCTTCGTCCTACGTTGTAGATGAGTGACTGACTTATAAAGCACACATTGGAACAGAGTAACATAAAAAATGGTTTTTTCGATCTTAAACGTCTGACTAAAACTCAGTTAAGCATACGGAAACCATTGAAATTCCTAACAGTATAACCGATATATATTCAGACAATAAACTAATACAACATTTAACCTCATAATCTAACTAAAAGTGTTGTTTGAGAATATTATATACAAATACAATGATACAATCATTAAATAATATTTGGTAAGTAATAAAAATCAACGTCATAAATAACATGATAGATTAACAAGACATGCACATACATGGTTTTGTGGAAATTGGATAACAATTCAAAAATGAATAGATTACCTGACTAAATGTAAATGAAGCATCACGAGAGATGAATTCACCAAATGTACAGAGGAAAACACCACAATCGGAACCGTTGAACTGTTGAGGCACAGTGTCCTTGAAATAAATAAATATTTTTAAGGTAAATCAGTTATATGCTAGGTTGTATTATTATTATTATTATTATTATTATTATTATTATTATTATTATTATTATTATTTGAGCACATAAACATCTGGAGGCACTAGATATATATGCACTGCACAAAAGTGATTTAGCCTGTGTGTGGTCAGAGATACTGACTGGGCACCGAACCCGAAGCAAGTGTTTTTCTTTGGTGGCCATACACTGAGCCTTTCATCCAAATCTTTAATCTACAAGGCAGTAAAGCAACGTTAGGAGATGCAGTCCCGTGGTAGCCGGTGACCGATAATTGGTTTACACGCCATTTGTTACCTCAGGATCCTGTAGCCCATGTGCTCCACTGGTCTGGAATCAGTTTTCCAATTCCCTTAGATGGATCCTCCGATTCCACCAACCCGGTTAAAGAGCCAAATATTCACTTTTCGTACTCTCAATTTCGTGAACAACACCCTTGCCACGAGAAGGCAATGAGTAGGACCTCTCTGGCAGTGGCTGTGTATCCGCGTCAATATTAGAGCATTTCGAAAGGGAATGCTTGGCCCTAGCAGGGCATTTGAGAGCAAGGTTGTACTAGTTATATATGCCCATTCCAAAAAGCACTGTTCTTACACAAATGAATTGAAAAGTGAATATAAAATAGCGAAATCAGTCAGAAATAAACAACGTTGGATATGGCATATATGCGTATTGGCCAATGTTCCTACAACACATACAATGAGATGAAATTAACAAGATAAGTACAAAGGTAATTCCTAGACTTATTAATTAATTTAATACTTAATTTGCATAACTTTGAAAAATTAATTAGATTAACAGACAACTCAAAATTTTGTACAGCTTTTCATAGAACTAAATCAATTAGTATTTCTGTAATTATATGAATTTTACTTTATTTAAACGTGAAGTTGTATGTTCAATTCTTCATTATCATAATTAAACAACAGAGTCATTTCATATAATGATCAATGTGCTTCTCAGGACGATGGATACTTCAAAGACTACAACGGTATACCTTGAATGCTGAAATATATGATACGATAAACTAATGCAATTTGATTTATAACATGAGTTTGATATTGAGAGCAGTCATTTTAACAGAATATCATGTTTTTGTCACACAGAAAAAACTAAACAACTTTCCACCATCGAGAAACAAAAAGACAAAGTGACTGAACTCTTAAGACATTATTAAGAACATTTGAACACATAAAAGCTAAGTATTCAACTAACTCAGTCGCGAAAAACCAGGCATTAAAACGATCTATACTTGTCGACCACTAACCTTTACTTATGTATGTAAGCTGAACGTCTCATAGATACATGTTGATTATAGCAAGTATTTGTCAGATGATTCAAAACAATTGAAAGTATCCGACCGATAAAACCGAATTGATGATGCAACTCATTTAACAAGTACAGATGTGTGTCATTGGCTGTGGGCCTCAGCTTACTTGTAAGGGCTAGTGATACTGCCCGACCGCTCAAACCAAAGTAGGTAAGGCAGTGTTTTGACCTGAGAAAAAAACTGCTGGAGGTTAAGTGAGTTGACCAGTAAACTATCAACTCTTTAAAAGATCCGACTTATTGTGAACATAGATCAAATGATTATTTAGAATTATCATCGTGTTCAAAATGCGGGTGATTCAATCAGTCAATCCTCAGTCAGTTAAAGTCAACATGAGACATAGCACCGATATATATATATATATATATATATATATATCCGAGTTACCATACCACGTCAGCACAGCGAGTTAGAATCGACAGAACGAATATTAAACGAACTAACATAGTGACAGTTAACACTAAGAGTAAAATTACCTCTGTATTAACGAGTTTCCAAGAATCCGGATCTGGCAGTTCAACATTTCTTTTATCTAATGATTCATGTTTCAAGTAATCCCTTTTCAGAAAACAATTTTGAAAAAAAAGTAAATTACGAACAAGAATTTGATGATACATAAACTTAAAAGAAAACTATTCATTTGTAATATATTTGTTTAAGATTAAGAATAGTTAAAGGTTTTTATGTTATAGGCACTAGGATTTTGCGTAAAAGGAACTAAGCACATGATTCAGTAGTCAATGTACGATTCGACTGTAACATTTCAATTATACGATTATTAAAACTAACTGATCTACGTTAATTTCTATTGAGTCAATGTTCAATCAGATTTATTTAGTTGTTAATAAAGAATAAAAGTACGAATCTTGTATGTTTATTGATCATACTAATTGGTTATTTTCATTGATCAAATAAATCTATATCAACTAGTTCTTTTCTCCTCACTTGGGTCGGGTTATACACGCACCCTCCCACGCATGGGTTTCGGAATAGTAAACTTCGTTACAAAAAGTTATTCTGTAAAAGCTGGTGAGAGGCTTTTACGTTTGCAATTTAAGTTAAATATTACGTAATCACCAAATGTCTATAAGGTCAATTGTTACAAACATTCACTGGATGAAGATCGATAGAGACATTGCTTACAAGAAATTTTATGGATTTCAGTGCTATTGTTTGTGACACACAATGCATCTAGATCATAAAAAATACAGTAGAGAGCTGTGCAATATGACCATCACCATCTATAAACGCCCTACCTATTTTTGCTTGGAATTCATCAGAAGTAAGCTGCTTTACATATCACCTTAACGGTAGACGAGATAATATAAACACAACCAATAACAGAGTCTAACCATTAAGTTTTACGACTAGGGAGGCTGAGAAAAGTATAAGTTTGACTAGACGAAAACTGCTATAAGTAAATGAAGATTATGGAAATTATTGAAGTTTAAAATTTACATAATGAAATGACTTAATTTAAAGTCACTAAAAACCAGGTAGCATTAGAAAGATGTTTTGTTTTAGTATATGAATCCTCAGGACTGCACATCCACGACACCATCCAGGATCGAGCTCAGAACTGTCAGGTTTCACAGCAAGCGCCTTACCACATAAAACCATCTACAAGTCTTTAACTTAAATGAATCCGCAATATTGCTCAGCTATTTTTTAATGCTACTGTTGGGCACCTGACTAAGATGGTCGAACTCTAAATGTCATTGACTGTCTCCTAGAATTCAGAGACCAGAAAGATATAGGTTCGGTGCTCGATTTGGTGGTGAATGTGCACTGATGAGTAGTCCATGTACCAGAACGAAACAACTTATAGTACCTCCTGATATTCAATAATCATCTAACTGAGGTTAGTCCTTGATGTAAAATATAAAATATTATTGCGCTGAATTTTTCTATCTCTAAGCAATGGATTAACAGACTAACAAATTAAAAGCCTGGAATAGATTCATAGGCAAAGCACATTGAAACTATTCGATAGAAATAAGTGAGGCTTCCTTGAAAAATAATTTATACACATAAAGCATTCAGTCAGTGATACATAGCAGAAACGTAAAACTTACATCAACTGTTTCAAACACTTCATGTTACCAGAGCCCATGGAATCGTAATATGTTATCGTTTTGACACGTAAATCAATACACTTGAAAGGGATTATGTTTTTTAAAAGACAAAAAATACAGATAAGTAAATTAAAAGACAGATGAGTTTAGGATTAAATCAGCGAAAAGTATCCAATAGATATCCAACAGGTAAGTCAGTCAAACGTAGCCAAATGAGAAGTTCGATCGATGGCAATCAGAAGTGACCTGGAGGACAAGTGTATACCATTGGCTAAGAAACAGATTAATTTCCTAAGGAGTAGAGTTATATGTAAATAAATGAGTATTTGTGTATTTTATTCGGTAGCCTAATATACTTTCTCATCTACTCTTGTGTTCTCCCTCAAGTAGTCAGTTTGGGGTGGGGTGGGGTGTTATCGCGTTTATTTCGGAGACCGCCCGTCATGACAGGTATATTGCATTTGAATTACAACAGATTAATATTGTGATATATTACTATACATCATTAACTTATTAAAATTAAGCAATGTAAAACCAACCAGAAGTCCATTCACTATACTAGTATTATATGATTACTTCACCATCTGACATTCAAACACCAACGTTTATAATGAATTAGTTATTAAACTTTATACACAATTTATTTCCCATCAACTTTATGCAATGGTAACACGAGGGTGGAAAAATAAAAATGATTTTGGCCACTTCTAGTACTGCAAAGATTCAGTGTTATTCTGAAGACTAGGCATCTCCTATGAAGCCACCTCCATGGGAGAATTGAGTAGGTGATTCCTGAGAATAGTAATTATAGTAAAATTGATTGTTGTTACATAAAGCTATTCTACAAAAATACACATAACCCTGATAAATTTTTTTTTAGTGAACCGGCTGAATTTATCAAAAGGACTAGTTGCTTTAACTCTGGACTTTAATTAACAAATAATGACAACTTGTAGTTCTCAAAATGGGGATTTGTGGAGATTGTAGTAAGTTTAGTAGTTGAATACATGATTCAATTTAAGCTGGACCACCACTGAAAACCTGGAAGCAAGGTCGTGGATCGATTGATGTTAGACATTAACACCGCCAGATGCCGGCTCAGTGGTCTAGAGGTTGAGTATGCGTTCGCGAGACCGAAGGTCTCGGTTCGAGTCCCACGTGCAAGGCTGTGGATGGGCACTTCTGAGGAGTCCTATACTAGGACGAAACGACCGTCCAGTGCTTCCAGGTCTTCAATCGTAGTCCAGCCTAGATCGACTCGTGAATTCAACCATTAAAAGCCTAACACTCAATTACAAGTTTACGCAATTGGGTAGGGACCAGGTTGGCAACGAAATTCTTAGCTCCAGGCGGAGGGCCGCCATTATAACTTTGTGACGACCCTTAATCAGGCATACTAAGATGAGTAGTTTTTGTCCGTGAGGAAGTCCGCGGACTATCTCTTAAAGCTCCGTGAATTCCCTTTCACGGCTGAGCGCTGGAAAAGTCCTCACAATCAAAATGCTATCAGATGCCCACTCATTTATAGACCATGAGAAGGAAGTTCTACTCATTGAGCTCACAGGGTAGAGGTGGTTTAATGAAATTGAGATGCAAAGCGAACGCATGGCGCTTAAACTAAATTGGTGAGTACTGAGGGTTCACCTAAAAATGAAAAACCCTAGTTTCAAACCAATGTTGTAGATCAGTTGAAGAGCCCTGAGGAAACAATTAGCGTATGTACCTATTTTGGTCACGATCTAATATGGGACTGTATCTTCTGACGTTGCTCCACTACCTTGTGGATGAGACCCCGAGGTTAAAGGACTAGGGTGTGACTCTGAACAAAACAAATTCGGAACATTCAGTGACGACTTTTTATGTGACATTTAGAGATAATAACTGGCTACTTAGAATGAAATAAGTGAGGTAATAGTGTTTATATCTAATACTTAGTAGTAAAAAGTAGGGGTAGCACTCAACATCCTGCCATTCGATTATTTACTTACACTTAAACACCAATGCATTCCTCTGTCATGAATTGGAATAAGTACAATATCTTGATCAAATAATTTTGATTGTCGTGTCCAACGTCGTACTCCTGAATAACCTCCACCTATTGGTGCTGTTAACTTTGCATAAAAAAATGTTGATAAAACAGCGATACGAGGAAGATTTGTTTGATGTTGACTTCGATGTTGTAACAATTGTAAGTAGAAATTGATTACCTGTGAAACAATGCATAGAAAATAATCCATAAATTACGAGTTTGACAAAAAACTGGAATGTTTTTTAACATGATGAATTGTATGATCTTGCATACTGACAATACTTAAATTACAGAAGAAACGTTGCTAGCTTAATGGAAATTAGAAAATGGAATAGTTGAAACTGTACATAACGTTTTAGAGTATGTTTTACGAGAAGATAGTGAATCAATGTTTCATGTAAAATACTTGGGTAATAATAAGATGTAAGTTACCAGCTGCTGGACTGCTTCGGTTTGGGTACCTGGGCAGTATCCCGGCTCTCACACGAATCGAATGATTTGTGTGGAGCATATCTATTTGATGTCTCCTTGTACCAATGTCTATGTGTTTAAATAAACAATAAATACATAGCCACTGGACTACCTGATTTTAGTGCTTTATTGAAGGTAACCATAAGTTAAAATGATTCACTATAAAGGAACTGAACGTCCATCAATGAATTGTATGTTTGAAGTTTCATACTAGATCATGTTGTTTATAGTTTTCGAATTGGAACCTGAATGTACTCGAATTGATTGATTAGTCGTTGAAAGATAAATTAATGGAAAAACTTTTCTCCACCTGCAAAAACATTGAAATCAAGATTTTAAAAGACAACTAACGAATGAAGATGCAGATGTGACATAGCACGATGGATATCGAGTTACATCACACTTAAGATTTGTAACCATAGATTACGTTTATCGGATAGGCTTGAATCGGGAAGTTCACATTTTGCCGAATGCTTTAGACAAGTATAGTCAAAAGCATCAAGCATTGGTCACTGAATAATTGCAAGTTAGTTGTTCATATTACTGTACAGCTTTGTGTATTACCGCTTTACTGGCTAGATTTACAAACAACCAATAATTATCCCAAAATATAATCTGAAGTCATAATTAATTCATAAATATGAAACTGACCATATCGCTTAACCAATTTGTTCCAGTTAATGTCATTAATTCACGACGTGTAACAACTAATTTATATTTATCTACAAGTACTTCATCTGGAGAACCAGTACGAAGGGCTGCTTCAATCTCAGCTAGTTGAGGTGCAGTTAAAACTAAGAAACAAAAAACAAAATACAATAACGATAGCAATAAAATGTGAAACTTCATCTTTGAACTACACTTTCGAAAGTACAACACTACCTTAATGTTAATAATAAAAAGAAAAATAAATCAACAATCTCTACCACATACAGTTATGTCTAGAAAATATTGAACCATGTTTACTTCCTGTAAACATATATTAAATTATACTTGTTAAAGTAGGTTGCGTAAGTAATGACAGTCTATAGGAGCCAACTTTAACTTCTGGTTGCCACTGGCAAATGTAATGCCAAGCGAAAATTATTACTAATATCTCGAAGAAGAGACACAGAATGGATTACTGACTAAATAACACTAAACCTACCTAAATGAATGAGACTTTGAAGGTGAATCGTCGTTAGACTAATTTTATTAACACTACAATAGACACAATATGCGAGAAAACAAAGTCCCTACAGACACACACATATATACATGATATTCATGTGAAGGAAGGACGATAACTGACAGATTCATCCCAACCTTGTTACTATAGTAGTATTCATACCGTGAACTAACTAGATAACTGATAACGAATTTTCATAATTTGCACACCATTATGATTATAATTAAATGAACACTATAAACTAATACAGAATAGACAGAAAAAATCATACCAGGAAGAATTGGTACTTTGGGTTCTTTAACTTTGACAGGTTTATACGGCAGTTCAATAGGAATAGGTTGAGGTACTAAATATGGATCTTCCAGAATAGGAGGTGTTCTTAGTAAACAAGCAAGCCTCTGTTCAAGATTGTCAATACGCTCTTTTTCAGCTGAAGCACGCTGAAATAATGAAGCAATGAAATGAAGTGTTACAATTATAAAAATTAGTTATTTATAAAAATTAAAAAAATTATCTTGAATAGTCTAATGTTTGAATGATTCGCTTACTTTTAAAACAGCAATACATCATAAAATTAAGAAAACATTTAACGCACTATATTGTTGGATGATGTAAGAATTCGAACGCCATCCATTGAATATCAAATCGAGCTAAATAAAACGCCAGACAATAATACCACTTTCAAGTCGAGCTAATCAGTAGATTCGTTCAAGGTCATACAGCTTATTCTGAACAACTAGGACACATATTAAACAACGACGGAAGATAATTATCCTTAGGAGTAAAATAATTGAACCAGGTCATAAACGCTTATTATATTCCTTTTAAAAGTGCTTTATTTTATGAGCACACAGAGCTACATAACTTGACTAAAGAGTTGAATTTTGTATTTGGATAATAGAAGAGGTTCTGCTCGTTTCGATCTATTTATTGAGTAAAGAATGGAGGAGGAGAATAGGCACAAGAATTGATATCTTATGGAATTAATCGGAGAAAGCCCAGGTGATGAATTCATTATGTCCAACAATTCTTAGGCTATACTATCAATCTATCAGTCAGTTATAAGCAACGTAGAACCTGACAAATATGTGGATCGATTCAAGTACCCATATAATAACACCACAATGAAAAAAATACTTTAAGACAAACAGCAGAATGGTAGGAGTAGTAATGGAATCAGTAGTCGAAAAGATTCAATAAAGAAAAAAGGGGAAAGTGAAAAAGATTTGAGCACTGAGGTTTTAAAGGAAGACGAAGAGTGAATGAACCTACAATAATCCGTGTTACTAATATGAATAAAATATAATGTTTGCTAATAACTAACTCGATATCTTCCATATGTATTTAGTTTTCCAACAAAATTCTTGAAGTATTCGTAAATCATATTCAGTATAGAAATATAGTACTTTGAGAAAATTGCCTAAAGATAATGAGTTTCGATCTTAATTATGGAAATTTACTTAGTGAAAATCTGAAATAAATGGCTACAATAAAACAATAAACCAGTCATATTATTAATTATATCAACCCTAAGTTGTATTTCATGTTCAATTCAAAATTGAACCTCGGGATGAAGGTGTATATTCTTGAAGAATCATGAATATAGAAATAAAATATGATTAGAAAACCCTATTAACATTAACAAAGATTGTTTCGTTCAGTTAAGGAAAAATGCAACAGCTTGTAATGAAACAGCACCTAAATTACCTGCTTCTCCCAAAATCGTATGTTTGCTCTCGCCAACTCATAGTCACGTTCACGTTCATTCTTTTTAGCCTGATAACTTGAGGTCAAGTTGTTAAGCCAGTTATCCGACAAGTAAGGAGATTCTGCAATACTTTCAAGCCACGCACGAGTTTTCGAGTCACTGGTATTTGAAGATGGGATAGAAACGGTTTGGTGATTTGTGCCTAGCAGGAGAATTGGATAAGATTATAAGAAACAATCTAAATTGAAATGCAAAAAAATAATGGTTTTTAGTAAAAATTGCATTCTTAGAAGTAAAAACAGTAGTTTGTATGTCGTCAGTTTCACAGAAAGTTGATTACAACAACCGTATACATGAATAAATAGAGCGCAATTTAAGAGAGGATACATTCGCCACTACTCAAATACAACAGCTATCAGGCACATCTCCCCCAAGTAGCCGCTCCAAAAGAATGACGAGACCAAGTGGATAAAATTAGAAAGTAATAAAATACTTGAATCGAAGATAACAAAAGATGAATATTAATCTGTTAAACAACGAAAAATAACGCTATTTGTTCTACCTTCGATAATGTGAAAACTTTTTAAAGTTTTAGAGATACGGAGCTGAGATGGTGGAGGTTTGTAGCTCACGTGGATGATTTTGGTGGTTTCTAGACATTATCAAAAGAACGGTGAAAGCTCCACGACCATACGATGCAGCTCAGAGAACGAAACTCCACCAGATATGAAAATAAATGACTATGCCATTGTAGGCAATATGGGACCCGACACGTGTATATCCATTCAAGTTACAACACAATTATCAGAGAAATGGAACTGTCAAGACAAATCCTAGGGTAGTATAGGTAACAACAGTATTGGTCTTAATTTAAGAAATAAGGTATCAGAGATACGGTTCAAGAAAAAAATATGGATTGGTAGAATAAAGAAAATTTTATAGTGATTTAAAAATTTAGAATTTAAGGGAAGACAAAGAGTAAATCCACTTGTGTTATTGTGAACAATTCTAAGCCATGTCACCACTGGTTATGATAATCACACGAACACTAACCAGGCACATGTCTCAGCCCAAACGTTAGTGTCCTGATCCCATATCTTGGTTTAGCCCCCCCCCCTCGTTTTCTTCCAACCTACTACACTGGCAATTATCATGCATCGCAGTAGTCGATGTCTAAGCATTTACCGATATCGCGACCTGTGTATCTGGTTTCAGCTAGACGTAGTTTTAGCACTTAGGTAATATTTATTTCGTCCCTTTTAGCAATTCATTTATTACATCTAACAGTTTAAAGTTCCTCAAAAATCTCTTTAGACACCAACTGAACTTCAATGAGAAGTAAAACTAAGTAGTATTTAAAGTTGTGATGAATATTCGACGGACTGAATCACTAATACAACTTTATCCATTAAATATTTATGTAAATCTGTGTAAGCTTAGCTATATCAAAACAAATTAATCAGATCTTCAATACTCTTATTTGAATGTCGTATTCGGTTACAATTAAGCAATAGCCAGAAGTTGTTTGCTAAGGTATACCCTTTCAGAAGAAGCATGAAAGAAGTCAGAAATTCGCACCTTAACTTTTGTTGTTACTAATGCCTGATGAAATCAACCTTTTTTCGTCAAAACACCATCGAACTTTAAACAAACAGTAAGCTTACTAGCGTCGTCAATTCGCTGGATTCTGTTGCTTGGAAGAATTGGAGAAAGATTACATCTAAAAACAAAATAAACAAGATTTCGGAAACAGGTTAACAAATGAGAAAACTAGTTAACTTGAAGGATATGAAAGAGAACAAACAACTCAACTATCAGACTTTCCGAGCACATAGAACATACTGCAACTGGCATGCAGTTGTTCATTATCCACTAGAAGCCAAAATGAATGACTGGCACTATAGTTCAAACTTTGAGTCAAGAAAGCTATAGCTAACTTGAAGAGAAAAGGAACAATAGGACCCGATGGATTAATTCCATGGGTCTAAAGAGATGATTACCTAATACGATTACTAAAATTTATTAAGCGAAGAGGCGAATTTCACCAGCTGTATTTGACTAGTCTTGATTCCTGGATATAAAAAAGAACATACGATTGTGATAACCGAGTTATCAGTATCCCAAATAGTTTCTAAGATAAAAGATTCCTGATAAAACGTGTAATATTGAAGAACTTGGAACCTCTGGACCTATTATATGGTGAAATATTCTTATTTTTACTGTAAAACTATTACGTAATAGGTTTGCGGTATTTCCATATTGCTTTTGATTGATACAATAAACTATCGATATGAGTCTCTTTATAGTAAATTATAGTTGATTATCTATTTAGCCTTTCTCTGACATATTTGTTGAGTGCTAATCAAACCTTTATTAGCTTTCACCCCAACGCTTATTTCGTCTTTTAATATTTGTCCTTTACATAATCTTATTGATGTTCACATTTGTTTGGCTTTGCTTCTTATATCATTTCGAATGATTATGCAACCAGTTATGAATTTCATTGCGCTTACACAACTCTTTATTTTGGTTGATTAGTAATGAATATAAAAAATCCCACTCTACATTATACAGATACATATCAGTCTTAACTACTTTTGTTCATATATTCCGTGTTTTCCCCTTATATTGATTTCGGTTACGTTTCGCACAATTGTCTAAACTTCGCAAACTTAAGTATATTAAACATTTAATTAAATTATTTTAACAGCTGTAATTTAAAGCTATATACAGTTGATGAGAAGCCATCGAATTGAATAATTTCATTATATTCTTCAAACCTGACTGTTCCTGTTCTATTTAGATTTATCAAGGGATATTCTATTTATTTATTTACACGGGTAACAGTCACCCAGAAGAATATTTATGAAGACTTATTAATTTTCACTATATCCGCCTCACTGTTCAGCATCACCAGGTTCAAGACGGATATCAGCAAAATTATTGAAGTTGAACACCATTTGAAATATGAAGATCAGTGGATGAGATAATGGTATGAAAAGGGTATTTAGAAAACTCGGATAACATTGTGACGTTCTACAGATTACAGTTTCAGTAACAAATGGAACGAATTTGCCAGTCATTAAGATGATAAACATCGAAACAAACCAGGAGTATTGACATAAAAGCATAATGACTTACTGCCGCAGTAAAGAATAGTGATTATCTTTAATTTCGTCAAGATTTATGGTGATGGAACCACATAAATTATTTGTAGGTTTGCCAGCAGGAGTTCGGGAAAATGATGACGCCTTATCTAATAGCCGTTGATATATCTGCCTTTCAGATGAAATGTGATTTTTCTTTAGAGATGACTTTGTGTGACCACTAAATGGAGTAGAGCTGAAAACGGATGACTGCTTCATTTTTTGCGAGTAGGTATGATTATCGGATACAAAACTTTGTAGGAAATAATGACAAACATCACCAGGCCGATTAAATGCCTTCAAACTCACGGATGGTAGCTGAAACAGAAGTTACCGTTAGGGGATGCTGAGAATATGGCATTATAAAATAAGTGAACTCGAAATATTTTGAGTTTGAGTGGATTACTTTCCATTACTTACCATCTTTCTAATCAGTAGATGATGACAAACGATAAAAGCAGGAAAATAATCCAATTGAAAATAAGACTGCTGTAACAGTAGATACAAAATTAAGGTGTAGTGATGTGCCATATTTGGAAGAGTTAGTAAGTGCAGTAATGATGATGATGATGAGTTACCTGGACGTTGACTAACTTTTGGATACTTGGCACCACAAATAAGACTATATACACTTAGGTATCATGTACAAGTGAACACTTGATCGAAAGTCAGTCTTTAAAAAAAGTAAACGCACAAAATCAGGATGGAAACTAAACTATCAGCTTGTAAATTTTTACAATCCAAAAATTCTAAAATACCAATTATTTTCCTTTTTTAATTCAAGACTGGATTTCAGAATTACTTGGCACAGTTCAAATTCACTTTGAAACAGCATCTGAAGACAAATGAAGATAATCACAATTCTTGTGAACTGACAGTCATAGTGGATTACCCATCAACGTATTTTATGTTTCAGATGCAAACAAAAATGAATATATTTAACATACATACACCCTGTGGTTTACGTATGCGGTGCTTGGTCACGTTATATTTTTGAATTCCATCTGTCCGCCCCACTACGCAGGTTATCTCTATTTTTCCTATATGACTAAAAGTCTGCCATACAACCTTTTTCTTGACTACTGAGCTGCACCATCTTGAAAAATATTACGATGTCTTGCATAAATATCATTCTGATAGAGGTTAAACGGAGACATGAACGAAATATTGATGTGAAGTGGTGAGAAACCTAGTGCCCTTTTTCGAGTTCCACAAGTGATAACGTTCAGTAGAAACCAACCTCGAAGGCTAATTTTTATACATCGACAAATATATTGTACAAATTACATCTAACGGAAATAAAATGTGGTCCAAGTTACCGCACTTCTCTGAGGCCCAGAAAACAAAGGGAGGATGAGGACATCAAAGTTAATACGATAAACAAGTTGAAAAACAGGAGACAAACAATAGGAAACTGCAAGTTCCGAAAAGCGACTTGGAATGGATATAGTTAAATTACAGAAAGACAAATTCATTACTTATAAGCTGGGTGTTAACTTATTATGCAGGAGTTTAGCTAGGCTGAAAGGTTAACTCTGTGGGACGCATATGATCTTTATGTTTTGGTAAGCCATATCTACAAAGTAACAAATTTATCAAAAGACTACCTGTATATTATGTTCAATGGATGATCCTAGTATTACGAATGTAGCCCGAAAATAAGCCACTTTATATTTGCAATCAATTAATATTAAATACAATTCGGTTAAAAAGTTAAGTTAGCAATCAAATCAGTAACAGCGAAGTAGTCTGCAGATCCTTTGCTAGAAAGAAATCTGACGCCTTGGCTGTTTAGGATGATACTTAAACAAAACAGGGGATAAACTGTAAACTATTGTTCGAAATTTACTGAACGATAAGTCACAGATACATACTGACGGGTGAGCATTCTACTCCGAAACCTAATATTTGTTTATGAAAAGGATATTAAGTAAGGAATCATCGTGAAATACAACAAATATCATCAAAGCCGGGATCTACAAACAAAATCACACGACTTAGATTTTTTCTGCAAGCGACTTGGATCTTTCGAAATTACAGATAAAATCTAAAGATACGTAGTGTTTTAGAACTTAGGACCGATAGGAAGACATAAATTTCTACCGGGATTGTATTTGATGTGAATACTCAGAAAACGGAATATGGCAAACCGAAAAGTCAGTTTGAATTTCTTACTAGATTTCCAAAGGAATAACCGTTATGAGTTGTGTTGTTGCTTTTGTCTTTCCCACTAAGATCCCGACAATTCCGATTGAAGATTCTCTCGTAAACACTTGAGACACGGGATGAACTAAAAGAAACGTACTTCTAGAGCTCAAAACGTTATTCTTACCATAACTTTAATCGTTTCGTGTCAGGATATAGCGGTACGTCATCATCCAAGTCACAAACAGGGAGAGGAGCTCGGAAGCAGAACCCCGCCTCAGTTTCCTTCATTGCGCCCCAAAGGTCATGTCAAGGTTTTGAGCTAATGTTTCAATATATAATCTTTTTGACCGACTGGTAGCAATCAATTGATTTATCTTCACTAACATCATGATTCCAAAAGCAACTCAAAGTTTGTCGCAGAATTAAGTTAAGCCAATACATTCTGGTCAGATCTAGCATCGACTACGTATTCACTTTCAGTTTAGAAAGGATAGAAGGCTTGAAAACCTGTGTTAATCCTGGCAATGATGGTCTCTCAGTTGATCCAACATTCTTTTAAAAGGGCAATTAGATAGGGCTTCAATCACGTGCTGAGATAATGAATTTCACCCGTTGATGACTCGATGGGAAAGCGATGGTCAGCTGACAAGTAATTTGTCCTGTACTTGGAGTGTCCTCGTATGTTCTCTGATTTGGAAGACAAGAAAAATGAGGGCATATCAGGTGCAAATTTATCACTAAGCAATTTGAAAACCGTAACGAAGTTGCCTCTAGTTTTTCGATATGACAAATGGGAATAGGTTTAGCTTAGCCAGTCGAACACCATACGGTAGCTTCGCTATTCCGGGAATTAGTTTAGTTACTGTTCTCTGAACTTTTTCCAAAAGCCTAATGTCTGTTTTTAAGCACAGTCTAGCTGCTTGTATGCAGTACTTAAGTTTAGGACGCATGAACAAGCCAAAAAAATTTAGTGTCGACATGACTAAAGGCCCTACGTACTAACCATAAAGTTCTAAAACCGTTGGCAGCTATTGCACAGAAGTGCTCAGTAGTCTTTAACTCTTGGCCAACGATTACTCCTGAGTCATTGAATGTTTGGACAACAAGTAACTTAGTGTTATACATAGTGTATGTATCTGTACCTTGATGACCGATATGCATCACAATACACTTGGAAGAATTTGTCGGTAACTGCCAGGTTTGAGACCATTTAGATAATTCCTTCAGGTCATTTAGGAGTTCTAAGCTATCACCCTTACTTCGTGTGCTCTCCATATCTGTGTCTGTACCGTGATGACCGATATGCATCACAATACACTTGGAAGAACTTGTCGGTAACTGCCAGGTTTGAGACCATTTAGATAATTTCTTCAGGTCATTTAGGAGTTCTAAGCTATCACCCTTACTTCGTATGCTCTCCATATCTTTGCATCGTCAGTATTTGACAAGACCGATGATAATAGTAGACGAGGAAGTTTGTTTACATACAAGAGGAGTAACACTGACTCCAAAACTGTGCCGTGATGCACTCCACTAAGCACAGTTTCCCAGATAGACAACTTGGAGTTCACCAGTACTCCTTGTTTGGCGCTGCACTGGGAAGTCTTTTATCCACATCAGTAGATTGCCTCCGACTCAGAAATTTCTTAACTTATATAACAGCCGGTTGTGAGGAACTTTGTTGAGTTAAATTTAGGCTACGTCTACGGGTAAATTTTGGTCCTTAAGAGCGCACCAGCCTTCACGAGCCACTAATAACGTATTGAGGCAGAAATAACTTATCCTAAAACCATGATGCTTCTCCGAAAGGATCCGGTTTTCATCGAGGTACGTAATCTTTTCTAAGATTTTAACACCCACACTAGTTAGACTTTCGGATCGGCAATTATCAGGTTTATGTTTTGTACCTTTTTTGAAGACTGGACTTACTATGGCGTTCTTCTGGTCTTTTGGTAAAGGGCTCTGGGTTATGAGTAGATTGAAGCATATACTTGAAGGGTTCGCAACAAAGTTAGTTAATTCCTTTATCAACCTGAAATGAAGTTTATCGGGTCCCGTATACTTGCCTATGCCTAGCTTATTTAGCACACCAAAGACATGGAGTTATTTAATATTCACGCTGTCCAGTGTTTGTGTGGAGGAATATGTATGGACCGACGGGAAGGGTGTTTCTATGGTGTATATATGACTAAAGTAGTTTGAGAATAATTAAGCTTTGCCAAATACGTCCTCCACTAATGATGAAGAAGTTCTGTCTCCCCATAGTGCAGGAATATTTCCTCTTTCTTTTGTCCTTTGGTTTACATACGAATACAGGCTTTTAGGACATTCTATGGATTATCTCATGTGTTGGAGTGATAATCTTTGGCCAAAAATCCCTTGTTATGATGAGTCACATAGTCTACATATTGAATACTATTATTAAGTTCCCTCATTCCCCACTAAGCCCTGACGTCAATAACCTTAGCTGATGAAACTGCTCCTCACATGACTAATATCTTAAATTTGTCACCATCACCTCAAGTTTTTACCTGTTTATAAGTGCATTTATATCACACCAGATGCGAATATGTCTGAATATATAGTTGAGGTTTCGAAATGTTAGTGGATGTAAAATTATAATGTCACTATCAAGTGAGGAGTCAACAGATTAAGGACAAAGAATGAGGATGAACGTTGCGACAGTCTCCTCGATAGTTTTACTTCAAGTCGTCCCCTGTCAGAGGTTATAAATAAAACTTTACCAAGCATTGAAGAGGGGAGTAATGAAGATAAATTAGATTACTTGTCAATGGTGTCAACGAATATAATTTGACATTTTTAATTGTGGAATCTTAAACCATTCTTTCACATCTCTGCCGCTTGGTAGCACTAGACCTTTTATAAACTCATTACTTCCATAAACGCCTGCCAAACTTCGTGTTTTTGACATGTATAAAACGGCTTATGAACTCCTGAGACATCTACTTTCATAGTTCAGAGTGCATCTCATTAACTTTGATTATGTTCAGTTTATGTAGATCTTGTAATTCCTCCTAACTTGTGAATGGGGAGCGAATGCTGTACAAGTCTAACTTTGACCACTCCACTTCTCCTTCTATAAGTAGCAAAGAACATACTCTATATGCAGACCATGTAGAGGATTGTCTTACTATTAACTTAAGTAATTCTACAATATATATATATATATATATAATATACCCATGATTAACAAACACTCAATCTTTCAAGTAGCTCTTAAGATAGTAATTCAGTGGTTCTGTGTAAGCTTAATAAGTAAAGAGGTGTGTCTTACTTGTCTAACTTTTTTAATAAGATCAACATCGCTATGGGAATCGAATGTTATATCGTTTACACTAAGACGATTAGATTCTAACGGTGAATTCGATCATGCTTATTGGACCATACCATCATGACAACAGAGAGTCCCAATTGTGTTGCAAGGGCAGACAGGCTGTAGTTTAAGATTCGCAGTACTTTGTCAGGCTATCATTCAGCGACCAAGAGGAAGAATACTTACACAATTTCTTTCTAGGCATGTTTTTGATTTAACCATATCAAAAGGTGAAGTGATGAGGGATTTTAGGCATGGGAATCATAAGAAAAAAGAAGTGGAAGACGGTTGATGCTCGAAGGAACAATAAGTCAGTATGAGGTAAAAAGTTATTACCCATGTGAAGACATTTTGACGTAAAATAAATGAAGACATAAAACATTTGATAGCATGAGAATGGAAAGAAAAATACAAATCAATGAAGATGAAATTCCGATTAACTTCAAGTGTTCTTAGAGCTTAGAGGTTTTTCGAAAGAGCACCCATTCTGTTATCTTGTTGGAAACTACATTGTAAAGAGGGTTGGCTGACTGAACACAGTGACTGTAAGCTAGCTCAGGCAGATGGCTAGATATGTTTTGAGTGAAAATGAGGTTTTTACTAATTGTATTGCACGTCGACAGGTTGTGTTAATATGAGTTCGGTGGATCCAAAATCAGATTTTTATGTATAAAAATTACGAGTAGGTTTAATTGAGGTGCAACTGCCGAGTTAAAAAGGCCCTCAAATGTCGATGAAATCTTGGAATTACAGCAATGACTTGTGACGGGTGGTCGTTCAGAAACACTTTCACTTAAAAGTCTAGTTAATGGGTATAATAAATCAGATCGTGATTGCCGCCAACCATCTAGTTTATTGATCAATATGCAACCAAGGTTTACAATTCATTGTTTCATAAGTATGTATACGGAAATCTCATAAGTGAAGTTTTCGACAAGTTCTGTATCCAGACTGTATGCAAAAACTAAGGATACATTTTCAGCGTCGGATCACTTGTTAAAACTTCTTTCTGTGGTTGACAACGAGTAGCGAAACTAAACGCTATAGGCAGTGCTTGATTGTACCGAAATCAATTAAAATAACTGTAAAAAACCATTTATGTCTCTTCAACAAACTTGATCAACACTAGATGCAAAATAACTGGAATTCTTAAACGGTTTAATAAAAAAACTTGATTTATTTCCAAAACGTTTACTCCACACTCAGTCATACGAAAGTTCCAGTAAGCCATTGGAAAATATAGCTAGTCAAAAAAGTAAAACTGAACATTCAAAGTAGTGGAAAAATAAAATTTAGATTGAAGGTTAGTCCATTCTATTCTGGTAGGGGCCCCACCTGGTCAAAATTTATATCTTAATGATATTAAATCATCATTACACCTTAACTTGAAGAACATTTGTAACTCAAAACTACTGCCAACCAATATCGAAGTCAGAATCTTCAATACGAACGTCAAGACAGATTTACTGTACGGAGCTGAAACTCAAAAAACTACCACAACCATTACCAGGAAGCTAAACTTTTCAAGATTTCATTCGTGAACCCTCGAAATTCCAATGAATTAACAATATCTTTAGTGTCAACATTCATAACACAGTTAACCATGTCATTAAGCAATTTATAAAAAGAATCTATTTTCACTGGGAGCACGCATAAACAAAAATCGGGGTATATTAGAATGCCGTGGAGAATATTGGTCAGTACTGTTAAGTGCCTGTTACAGTTGTAGCGTGGTGTCGAGTTGAGCTTGACTATGAACACCGCTAAAAGACTACGTGCCAATTAACCAATAAGATCCCCGTAGGCCAATATCAGAAGACAGATGATGGCTGTAGTGGAGATGTATTTGTTGGCGATCTCGTGGTATCGAAAGAATACCGAGGTCGTGCCAGAGGAGTACAAGCGTGGTTACTGAGCGTAACCGAATTCGTACAAGTTCAAAGTCAATGGGAGA